ACACGTGTATTGTTTATTAACACGCGTGTTATTTACAGACCAAATATAATGTTACGATAATTTAGAGTTAAGTTAATATACAACAACTTCATAATTTATTTCGCTTGTTCTTTTTTAATTTTGTCATTTTGCCACGTACGGATTATTACATTTTCAAAAGCTAGTCAAAAAATACGCGACTGCAATTTTAATCCGCTCAATTGGCAAAATCACGCTGGTCGCTATCGGATTAGAAATTCCGTAGTTGTTTCTAGCTTATGCTAAGTTTACAGGCTAGTTTTTGCGTTCGATGCAACAATCGTGTCTGGGTTTGTTGAGGCTATATGCAGTGGGTAACAGTCATGGTCAGGGTATAATCGATCGAATGTGGTGGACGTTTAGCTTGTTTTTCGTTCAACCGGCCGCGGTCCCGGTAATGATTCGCGTGTCGCACGTTTGCGGTTCTTTTTTCGCAAGGGAGGCAAAACGGTGAAACGTAGACTAAATAAAATCACGCTTTTCGCCGCTATCTTCGAGAACGGAAATAGAACGTTGTAGGAGAAAGGGAACGCTTAGAAACGCTGGATAAAACGGAAAGCGAACGCGATTCCTTTTTCGGATCTCTGTGACGCGTTCTACAAATTTCTGAAAGATGTACAAAGGTGTTCGGATCTCGTAGAATAGGCGGTGGAAAGAATTGAAAAATCGCGATTTCCGTAATCGTTAACACTAAACCTACCCCGGTCAAAGTGACCGCTTTCTTATTTTGCAATTCTGCAAAGTTCCGAGACTCTTTCGTTGAAAACGCTTGAATAAGTTATATTATTGGAGCAAGTTTTATAATAAAAACTTTACAGATTCTAAATAAATTCGGTCTTCTCGCTTTTGTGAAGCAGCACATGCCAGTTAGTATTACTGCTTGGTAGGTTTAGTGTTAAATTGTTTGGATTTTCGTCCAAAGCTCGGATAAAAACGTTAATTTTATTTCGTCGTTCGACCCAATCGCAATTTTTGCTGAATCTTTTCTCCAGTAGACTGGTTCTGTCACTGCAATTCGGAAAGTAATTCCGTTTTTATTCGATTATTACTGTACATCGATCAGTGGATAGAAATCACCGATTATGTTACAATTTCTGATAAAAGCGAATCCACTCTGACGTATGAAACAAGATCTGAAGTTTAAAAGATCTTCTCACCGATAAAAGGTAGACAATGAAACAAAAGGCTTGTGCCACGTTGTAGCCAAAGGTGAAGTTGCATTAGAAAAGGTTAAAACTGTGCGAATACGTTCCGTAGATCGGAACAATGACTTGGTACTGTAGCCATCGAAATGGCTTCGACAAGCGTTGTATAATAATTCGGCGGCGGGATTGACGACGATTCCATGAAAATATGTATGCATTGGTCAAGGGAAAAATTCGCGGAGCGCGGGAAAAAAAACGAGCGTGCAACTATTGGGTTGGCAACTAAGTAATTGCCGATTTCTGTTATAGATGTATCTCACTCCCATTTTTATGATATCCGTAAATGTTATATTATAAAATTATTATTATTATTATGTTATTTTTTATTATCCGTGAATATTAGCAACTGGATAAATTGAATGCAGCGGTCAAGGAAAAGCAGAATCGGTCAATCGTAAAGGTGTCATTTTCCAGCAGGACAATGCTAGGCCGCACACGTCTTTGTCCACTCGGCAAAAATTCATGGATATTGATTGGGAATTGATGTTACACCCACCATATAGCCCTGATCTCGCGCCATCGGATCAACACTTATTTCGATCCCTGAACAACTCCCTTCGTGGTAAAACTTTTAACGACGATGACGCTGTAAAATCTCGCTTAACTCAGTTTTCGGCCGAAAAGGATCAGACTTTCTACGAGCGTGGAATTTTCAAGTTGTCAGAGAGACGGCAAAAGGTCATCGAACGAAATGGAAAATACATTACAGATTAAACTTCGTTCCAAGTAAAAAAAAATTTTTATTTCATCGAACAAATCGGCTATTACTTAGTTGCCAACCCAATGTAAGAATAAATCGCAACGATAAGGTTCGACATTGTAGGAATCGGCGGGACGAACGGAACGGTTATGCATGACGCGGTGATTGATTTTCGTTCTGCTTCGGCGGGCATATTTTCCGTAGCGATCGAAGCCGTTGATACGCAATCGTTGCCGAAATGATAAGGTACGACGACGAAGAACGGGCCATGCGAACGATTCCGCTGTGACACACGCGCAATTACGAGGAGGAATTTCATTCTTCGGGCGGAAGTAAAAGCGAAAGCAACGAGATTGCTAGGAAACGCGATCACTCGATAGACTGCAGGAAGTCTTTCTATGGGCATGCACCGGCCGAATGATCGCCGGTTATTATTCAATATCGATTCGGCCGGGATTAAAATCGATCCGGCCCGGGACCGAGGAATCGCGACCTCGAGCCGGTGAAATTCGTGAAATCGTTGCGGTTACAAAGTCGTCAATCGTTATCGTTTTCCGTTATAGTCGTTTATCGGTCTCGAGTGCCGTTATCACGACACATCTCGATACCTGCAGCACAGCAGAAAATTCTGCTAACTAGTTTAATCCTTAACAGAATCGAGCTCCGTTTCATGATTTTTATGCCGCATAATCGTCTCGTTTCGCACAGCGAAACTGTATTTTTAGCGACAATCGACTCGAATGATTTACCGGCTTGGATTGTCGTCGATTTACACAAAGCAGTTTCTTCCATAAATAATCGACTTTTTGCCGAGGTTTTTTACTCGTCGCGCGCAAGAAGGAGACACCGCGATTCGCCGCGCGCGCGCGGTTTTATTTTAATGTTAATTCTTCTTCGCACCTGGACTTTTCTGTGGAAACCTGTCTGCACAATGGCGCATAACGCGGCGAGTGTATCGATGCATTAGTCATCTTTCTCGATGTCTCTGTCTCATTCATTTACAAATTTCGCCGTGTCGTCTAAAGTTTACCGAGGCCGAGTTTCGAATAAGAAAAAAAAAGAAAGAAAAAGTAGCAAATAAAGAAAGAAAGCAAATAATAAATAAAGATAATAAAAAAATAATAAATAATAAATAAAGAAAAGAAGCAAAAAACAATGGATGTTTATTGAAAGGGAATCTATTGGAAATGTGCAGCACTGCATATCCTCGAACGATGAGGATCGTGAAAAGACCAATGAAAGGCACAGGACGAGATTAACAACCAGATTGTAATGGATCGGCTTTTAAGTATCGCAAATGAGAACGGTGGTGTCAGTTATCGGTAAATTACTCAATATTTCGAATCTACAGATAACGAAGCAGCTTTATGAGTCATTTCTCATTTCCATATCGCTTACTATGTAAGTAAATACAATGAATGAATCTGTTTTATATGTAGATACATCGGAAGCCACATTTGCATGTTCTGCCGACGTCCTTCGAAGGATATCGATAGATTCGTACGCCACATTTTTGGTGCCCTTGTCGCTTCAATAATTATTTAAACATATTCACGCGTTAACTGCAATAATTCGATTCATTATCACTGAAGTCAGTAAAACAGTTTTACGTAAGAAAACCATTGCATCGTTATTACAGTTACATGAACACGTCCAAGAGCTAATCTTCGTTTAACAGTCGCGGAAAATTACATATCGTCCGCAAGGACGATCCTACATTTCGTTGTCCAGAAATATTTCTGTTCAGTTTCTGTCCATCGATCATTTTTTGGCCAAGGTCGGCACGAAAGATATTATTGACATAAAAGCTTTTTTGTGTGTGTTCTGTAATAATACAATGCTCTCGAAACGGTCGCTGACGATTATGCCAGGGTATAATTGTCTCGGGTCGAGACATTGTGTTCCGAGTTGTCTGAAACAACTTTGCAACCCGGTGCTGCAATTAAGTGTTGTCTAAAAAAAAAAAGCCAAAAAGAAAAAGAGAGAAGAGAGGAAAATAGACTGCATCGATAAACGGCCGGCTGCATTAGAAGATAACGCGTTAGTCATCCGCCGATAACCATGATGCAGGCAGACCAAAGCGGTTTGTTTGGTGATGTCATAGTTAATCAGAAGAAATCATCATGCTGGCCCCGAAATGGGAGAGCATGCGTTGCCAATGAATGTCCTCTATCTTCCGCCGATCGCTGCGGTTTCCTTGAATTGTCAATCGCGTCGTAATTCATCGCTTGTCATCCTCGACGTTACAGATTACATTACATTAAAATACATCGGGACCGTTCGATAAATAGCAGCGAAATAGTTCCCATGATCACGTGACCGCGAGACCTGAACCAGAGATTAGCAGAGACCTGCTATGACTAATTAAGTTTTCCCTTGAACCGACCAAAAGAACCCTATTTTCGAGCAACGTTTCATCGTGCTCGAGAAACGATTGCTCGTTTATTCGAAGTATGTATTTTTAATGTTCGCGACCAAAATAATATAATAATAATTTTTATTTTACATTATAATAATTTTATACAAATAACATTATAATAATAATGTTCGCGATCATCGAACAAAATAAATATCAATTATTTTTTTATCACAAGCCGCGGATTCAAACGAACTCTAAAACGTGCGCCAATTCGGACAATGTCGGGCTCGTTTGAAATAGCAAGTTAATACGTTCTAGAGCTTTCTAATGACATAATTAGAAAGACTGACAAGGGGTCATTGCCTATTGATGGAAACTAGATCACACCGGCCGACGGACGGTCATCGTGACTCTTTTACCTGGCGATCGTCTAGGTCTCGCGAATTTTCGAAGCTATTGATCCGGCAGACGAAATGCCGAGATCCTTTCCCTTTAAATCGTCCTTGCAACCGTATCTGAAAATCCTGACGAACCATCGATGATCTCCGACGATCTCTTGCAACACATCTCGTGCAACCTGAGCGTCTAGGAAAAATCTCTGGCGTCCCAGGTGTGACCTAACCTCACTTTCTCGACGCGATATCACGTACGATCGGTGAAACGATGCGACTTATGGTGGTTTCGCGTTAACAGATAGACCAAGGCTGGCGTGACTTACGGTTCTGCGATGACCGGCGCGATCTTCAGGATCGTCGTAAGGAACGTCTGGTCCTTGCAGAGAATCAACGGCCGTTGCGGCGAACTGTTTACGTTCAGTATTCTGAACAGGATGCACAGGATCACCGCGAACACCGCCAACAGTGCTGTGGACATTTTTCTGTGTTGTCGTTGACCGATGTCTGGCGAGAAAAATGGATTTTATGCTCGTCTGTCTTCCCGACTGTCAAACGGTTGTCTACTGGTCCGGAAGAATTGCCCCGAGGTTCGCGAACAGGTCCGGTTTACTTGTCGCCGTGGCTCGTCGACGATCCACTCGTGACGAAGACTGTACGCGACTGTTTCGCGTGTTTTACCGGCACCGGCACTTCTTGACGGTCGATTTGCGCGTGCCTATCAATAGTTACGTTCGCGGAACCTCCATCTGTCCGCACCGCTCGAAATTTCAATACGGACGACGAGAAAGAGAGTGACCAGAGAGAAAGAGAGAGAGAGAGAAGAGAAGGGGACGGGAGAGAGAGAGAAGGGAAGGGGTGGGGGAGAGAGAGAGAGGAGAAGGGGTGGGAGAGAGAGAGAGAGAAGGGAAGGGGTGGGAGAGATAGAGATGTAGGGGGGATGGAGCGATGGAAAAGGACGCGCACGATCAGTGGTGAAATTTTTATTCTTTTCTAGGATACAGGTGTCTTGATCATGGCAAGAGACGAATACAGGCCACCGAAACACGGTGCATACTCGCATTTACCAGTTTTTCGAATCCGCTGGATTCACTGTGGAGCCTTTCTTTGTTCCCTCTTTCTCGCCTTACGGTTCTAGGGAGCTTTGAAATCCGACGTGCGGTCTTCTTGGTTCCAGCAACGATGTTTTATAGTCTCTGGTTCTGCTGCACCCCCGAGATCTAACGAACTAAAGGGTTGTTGTTCAATTTGTCTTTTTTTTTGGTCTTCGTGCGCGAAGAGAATGTCGACAGGAAGATGATCACGAACCGAAGTTACTGGTTTCGATTTTATTGCACCCCTGGGGGGTGAACTAGGGTTATTGTTTAGTCGGCCGCATGTTTGGCGGGACGCATGTTTGAAGTGCCGAAACACGTCATTTGAATGATAATTTCGTTTTTTGAGTATTCATTTATCAGTATCTTCATCGTTGAAATGCTTTGTCGTACTGTTTTAATTTATAATCCTGACGCCATCGTAAGTCTTTAAAAAATATTTATTGTTGAAGATAGTCCTTTAGAAATGTATTTAAATGATCTTGTATCGTTGTTAATCGGTTGTTTAAACCTTGAGAATTTCATGCGTAACAAAAAAACTTTCGAATTTTGATCATCCTGATAAGTTCTTATCATTCTGATTTAAATAATGATGTTTCACTATTGTCGAACACCAAAAAATGGCCTTTTAGAGGACAAGAATTTGTTCCAAACATAACAAGATCATGATCAAGAACTGCGATTATTGTTACACAGTTTTATGTGGCTTATCGTTGAGACCAATAAGGTAACTGGCTTACGCGCTGTAGAAGCGCAGAATTTGCTGTAAAATAATGTCATGGTCGAATGAATTAAGATACGATCTTAAGATCAAGGTTTGAACTCTCGTGTAAAAGTAGATCTATTAATTCTACAGGTTTTTCCTCGTTCGTATTGTCATTTGCATGGATAAATTTGACAAAGACGATAAATCGACGAAGTATACGTAAACTGTTTCAAAATTTGGCACACTCAAGCATTTTCCGTGCTGAAGTAAGGAAACGAGTGATACACGGAATTACAAATGGCATCATCGTGTCAATGGCCTACAATTTCATGCCAAATATTTTGAAGAAAGTCTGGGGGCGTTCAATTTCGGGTCATTTCGTTTTCTTCTCTGGCATTCGATGCCGGTTCGACTTTAAAACGAACTTTCCTCCGTGGATCGATACTAAACGTTTAGATTGTTAATCTGTGAAGCAACATTCGAGAGGTCATCGCTCGCGAGTATCGCTTTCAATGTTTTTTTCTGCATTTTATGTTGTTCCACGTTGCTCGAGACACTTATCAATCTCCGAAGAAATATTGTAGAGTTATGTTTTCGTTTCGAATGCGGCACTTCCGATGATATCGATAGTGGTTGATTGCCGCGATCGACGACGACAGTTTCCTGATTTATTGTAATTGTATTACGATCTAATAATGGGAGGGTTCAGGGCGAAACCGGGACTTCGAACTTTAATTCAATTTCGTCGAAAGTATACCGTGTCACGTCTATGATACTGTACAATGTTTCTGAAAAGCATTGCGAACTACAATTTTTCGTAGATCCATGATACACGGAATGAGAATTGTTACATTATCGTTAAACTATGTCCAGTAATTTATTACTGTACTCTGTTATAAAAATTACACTCCAATACTACTATATGTATACGATAATCGTTTATTAATATTAAGCAAATATAAAAATATTATTTGATTATTACTGATGAGATATTTATTGGTAAAATGCATCTTCTAATAAATAAAAGAAAATATATAAAGTTCAGTATCAACGATTTTGTAACTACACTTTTAGGTAATTGTAGTTAAGAAACTGTCCGCTTTTAAACAACAGAGTACGATTTCGTAGCTCGCAATTTTTCGATTCCTGCTTTATTGAGAAAAATGTAGAATTATTGATGTAAGTAACAATCATGGCAACCGTTATCGATTCCGTCGACAATGCTAGCAACCATTTGTAAACAAGTGCAATGGTGCAGGACAGACATTTTCATTTTTCCTGCCCTATATAAGTCAGTCGTGAATAAGTTAAACGTGAAAAGACTAATCTCTCACGAATCAAGTTGAAATAGAGTTTCCAGCATTTATATAAAGTGGTATGCGAGGAAAGAATAAAAAGAGAGGTACCAAAGCCAACGGTAAAAATGGGAAAAATGGTAAAAACGGCAAAGACAGCAATGGTGGTAAAAGTAAAGGATCCAAAAGGTCGAGAAAAAGTGGAGGAAGGGCAAAATTCAGTATGGATATTTTTAATGAAGAAGCCATGGAAAATGCATACTACACTTGCCATAATATAATGGATGTTCTGAAATGCAGAGGATTTCCTTGGCCAGAGGCCCAAAAGAAAAAGAAGAAGAAAGGAAGGAAGTAAATGCAATTGCTATTATGACACTGTAGCAAAGGGGATACTGACAAAAATATTTATATTTTCATAGAATCGATGAAATTATAAATGGTATGCAAAAATATATGTCTTACATAGTCAATATATAATACTGTGGTACACACATGGCACTGGATAATCTTCATGTACAATTTCATCGTCTAATCATCTTCTTTCTCCATTGTTCTAACAACGAAATCACAGTACTCTTGAGTATCAAATTCACTGTGGCTGATCATGAATGGCCCATTAAACACGCAGTGCACTGTTACAGTGTCTGAATACCGTAGATCAGGTAGCAGCTGAATAAAATAAAACATTTTGAATTAATATACTGGGCTACTTTGCATCCCCTTATTAAATAGGATATTCCAGTCTAGAAAATTGATTTTAATTTGAACATGTATTTCTAAAATTTATACTCTCAAAGTTGATGAAATTATTAGGTAGTATCAAAAATAATTTGCACTTTCATTCTTTAAATTTTTCCCATTCGGTAAACGATACAAATTCTATCACTGCAGACTCGAACATCTCTTGAACTTGTGACCTAGTTATACTAACTTTTGGAGTGAGTAAGAAATATTGAGAGCTATTCGGTCTCCCAGTCATCTGCACAAGTAGATTGAACACTCGTCGTTCGTTCAATGCGTCCATACCCTGATTAATTTCGTCTACACATCGGAAAGGTACTCTTGAAAGTTCTTGAAGTGAAATCATGTAAATGGCAGTGGTCACAGCTCTTTCGCCTCCACTTTGATGGTGTCTCGTCAGTTCTTGCAACTGGTCCATGTCTCTGAATTTCACTCGGATTTTCAGGCCATATTGATCGAAGTCCATCTACGAGCTCAACATTAGTCTTCTTACAAGTTCTTTATTAACAAGTGCGTGATCTGGTTCCTTTTCGTGATGACTTACGCTGTTTTCTGCGGCTGCTAATACGACTTCACCGGCGCAGTTCATTGCTGAGAAGTACGTGCTGAAGTTCGAGTTGATTTTGTCCACAATTTTCGACAACAGAGTCAGCCATTCCTCTCGCAATTTCTCTATTTGGTTCGACATTACTTCCATCTCGTGTGTCTTGGTTTGAATAAACTCTTTCAAATAGTTGATTTCTTTTTCTACGGTTTCGTATTCGTGCAATACCTAACGCAGATAATGTTGAAGTAATTATAACTGTAAGATTGACTATTCATCAATTATTTCTCGGAATTATACATAGTTTCTCAATATTGTAGATAGAAACCACACACTCACATTCTCTCCATCCATATTGTTTCCCATACAAAAGACTTTCGCTTGTGCTATGTTTAGTTCGTTATTAATCTCCTCTATAGTCGGCGGTAATTTACTGAAAATTCTGTTTATCGGCGCAAACGCGTCATCAGATGGACTAATGTTATTAGTAGTTTCTAATGCTTCTTTGTACATTTTTTGCACTTCATTCTTCATGGGCTGCATTTCTATACCCAGCTGTCTCACATTTTCTTGCGCTTCTTTAAGGTTGTCCCTCTGATCCTGGGATTCGTTTACTTTCATAGTTAAGGTACGATTTTGTAGCTTTATCGCCAATTCGGTCTGCTCGCTCGCTGTGATGGACTTGAAACATTCCTCTAATTCAGCATTATATGTTTTATAAGTTTGCAGTTGTTTGTTTAAAAGCGTCTGAAAAATTTACGGATGAATGTTATTATGTGAATAAGTATATTTAATATTCTTTGGAGGAAGGTGAAACCTTTATTTCGTTCGTGGTAGATTCCTTAATTTGGTCGATACTGGTCCGTTCGTTTTGCAAACTCACAATCTTCTTTTCCGCCATAGATATTCGAGTCTTCAAAGTTTGTATTTGCTGTAGACTTTGTTGATGTTTGTTTCTATTGGCTCTGTGTTTATCCAATTCTGTATTATGCTTACAAATCTGGTCTTGAATTTGACTTATTTTCTTGTGAATCTCGCTTCTGTTTTCTTGCAGCATTTTCAATCTGAAAAAAATTATTTATGAACTGTAAATGATTATAGCTACCTTCTACTCAGTTTGTTACTGTATAATAATAACTAACTTTTCTTCAATTTTCAGTAACTTTGGTTTATCCAGTACAATTGATAACATTCCAGAGCCGTGCACTGGTTGCATTCCAATAGACTTTTGTCCCGTGTATTTAGACCTATTCACCGAATACACATTCGATTCTGAAAAATAAAAATTACAGTACGTGCGAAATAGTAAATTTTTTCTGAGGTAATCGAAAAGATACATTTTTCTACTTACGACTAAAGTAACAACGAATGTTATGAGGTATATGATCAATGTTATCATCAACAAGATTAGTTCCTACCGGGATGTTGTTTAAATTATGCATAGATACTAAATATTTCATGATCGTGCTTGGAGCTTCGATTAGTGATGCCAGATAATGAGTGAAACCATATTGTGTGATATTCGCCAAAGGTACATGCGGTGTCATCGAAACGTGTTTTGCGGGGTCAGAATGTGCAGCATTCACCTGCAGTTTCTGTTCATCTCGTAAATAATGTAACAACAAATTCATATCTTGTTTATCCTCACAAACAAACGCGATCAGGTCACGGAATGGTATGATGCCTTCCAAATATTTAGCATAAAATGCGTTGTTCACATTTATGTTAAGAAATATCGGTTCGTATACTGTTCCAGAGAATTTATCACGATTCTCTCTTAGCCACTGAACCGCCTTGTACGTGTCGATACTTCTTTCTCTTAAAAGCTGGAGTCGTCTAGCATCAATATTAAGGAGTTGCAGTTCTGTCTCTTGAGCTGCATATTTTATAATTAAATATATGGCTTATAGAAAAATAGATTTTTTTACATATGTAAACAATTTACCTCTGATTCCAAGGTTGATACGCTCTTCTTCCCGCTTCAAATCTGAATCTTTATTTGTTAGAATGCTAATTTGGTTCCTTTGTTCCTCTACATTCAATAAGGCTTCTTCTCGTTGTCTTTTGACAGTCTCCTCTGAAAAATGATACAAGATGTCCCTCTTCTAATACTTTTATCAAATCAGAAAGAAGACATATAATATATAATATTAACCTGGTCCAATATCCTCCAATATCAGAGTCAAATCACTGTCCAGCTTATTTTTTTGTTGCTGTTCAATCTCAATGTCATGGTCTCGTGCTTCTTCAGTTTGTACCCTGTGTCTGCAAGTAACTTCACAATCCTTGATCATATTTTCATATTTTACAATATTATCCATCACTTTTTTGAGTTTCGTGGTTTTAATACTGAATTTATTGTTCTAAAATTAAATTACGTTTGAAATAGCCCTTAGTGTTCTCTGTCTTAAAATTTGGAAACTCACATGATTGGCCATGGAATTCTGAAGTGTTTTTATTTCTGATCTAAGTTTCTCTATTAAATCCATCGTTGGTTTCATTTCTGATTCCAAAGTTGTTACTTGTGCTGCAGCTTTTTCCCTGTTATTTTTCAACTACAAAGTTCATTTAATAAGAAATATAACTTTTAGAAATTTTTATATACGATTTACATTATTTCCAACTATTTTACCTTAAGCAGTTCTCTACGTTTTTGATCGTATAACAACCATGCTTTTTTTTGTTTTAGAGATACTATCTTTTTCTTTATCATTTTCCTTTCTTTTATACCACTAACAGATTCTTTCAAACCTTCGTATCTTTGTGTCTTTGACTCTAGTAATTTTTTCTTGCTTGCCATTTCCGATTCAAAATTTTTGTGATCTATCCTATATTGTATCAACTTCTTGTGGCGCTCTAAAATCACAGGATCACCAACCGATCTCTCAGTATTTTCTAACAGCTCTTGTGCATTCATCTTTGAAAAGTCTTGCACTTTGTCTTGAGGAAGAAACTGGCAAAGATTATCCATCTGAAAAATAAAACAGAATATTTAGAGTTTCAAGTTATTCTAACGATAATTAAATGTAGAATTATACCTGGATATCGAAGCTTCTTGTTAAGTCTTGTACTTCTTTAATGTTTGATTGCTTTCCATCGAGGAACCAGGAAGACTTTCCTTGCATATTAAATAACCTGGTAATAATAACATCACTATTCTTTCCATTTTTGAGATGGATCTCAATTTTTGCCTCTTGACAACCAGCTTTTATATAGTCAGCAACATGAACGGCACGACCAATTGTGCTTGGTTTTCCTGCCAAGCCAAGAACAATGGCACAAACAATTGTTGACTTTCCAGTGCCATTAGGTCCAATAATTACATTCAGATACTTGCCAGGCTTTATAGCTACTTTAGAGTAGGTTCTGGAAGAAATATTTATTATTAAACCTCCGAATAAAATTTGAGGAAGATTAATAAAGTGTTCATTCATGTTTTAATTTAATAATAACCGTAATAAAGACAATTAATGTGTCGTGTATTTTAAGTTTTATAAATTAATCCCCGAATATGAAGATATATTAATTTAATTAATACGATTATTTAAGTACTGTACTTACACAAAATTTTCTAAATAAATATATGTGATAATTCCTTTGTCGATTTTGCTGTTGTTCATGATGGATTTTCTTATAATAAACTGTCTTTGTACACAATAAACTTAGTTCACTATGGAAAATGGCAATATTAAGTAATCATCGTATGTTATTTTAAATATATTGTATATGAAGACACATTCTTTTACTGGCAAAGATTCATCGAGTTCCATCAATTATTCATTTGTTTCTTTCCGATTGTACGAGTGTTTGTTGCAACAGTTGCAACACTTAAACATAACCTAGAATCTAGCCAACACGATGTACAGGCTTCAACAAAATAAACGTGATGCAACTGTCGTTTCAATTCTGCGTTGGTCTGCGTTTAAATTCAATGCATTTTAGAATACATCCGATGTAATTGGGCAAGATGTAATTAGTTCGAAAAGGACCCGGATGTGCTACAAATATAATTATCTAAGAAATAATCAAATTTTTCTTTCTGAAATTGCGATATTAATCATAGTTTTGCACGGGCTGCATGCAATATTCGTTGAATTTTCGCCACATGAATTTTTGTTATGCCCAGGGCAGCAAAATCGCTACCCCCACAGACCATGCATGATCTAAGCCTACCCCTACGAGCAATAGCTGAACAATTCTTACCTCTGAGCTACACCCTAAACACACCTGTAGTAGAAACGAACTCAGAAACCGTGACCATCCTGTTATTTTTATTCATTCGAGTTATTCGTTTTTATTGAACTTTGTACCGATTGTGCATTACATCCGCTCACCCTGTTCCCACAATAATATTTGCGGACATTCTTGCAGAAGAACGACAGCGTTTAAAATAAACGCTATCACTGTTTTCCGTATTTATTACGACATCGCATTTGACGTCAGTCCATTTTATCTAACTTCCTGTTGGCTAGTGTTGTTAGTAGATAATAGCGGTTTTTTTTTCTGGGCAATATCAAAGCACAGATGCGTTACTCTACTCATCTCCGATCAAAGCTTGTCGTCGAGACTTGCCATTTCCAGGAAGTCACTCTGGCGTGAATTTTATGCTTCGATCATTGATCCCCGCATTATTCGAACACGGTTCATCGGATTTTGTTCCTAAGAACGAATAAATCATGCGATACTATGCGGAGCTGTCGAATGGTACAAGAACATCGTTGTAATCATCCCGCACGACAGACTGTACTCAAACGGGGAGAACAAATTATAAAACAGCACGGACAGTTTTACCAGCGAACGAGAAATTGCAATCATAAAGAAAAGTCATACCGAAAGACACCGCATGCAATTAAGATAATGTTGTCGCAATTGCAGATACGCGAGGTGCCCATCAAATTATGTGAAGTGTTTCTCCATTGTCGAACGCGTACCGTTGAATTAAGTTCGCAGAAAAAAAGCCGAGTGTCATAGTTTCGCAGAGCGATCGCACATTACCAATATTGTTCTCTGTCTACCTGACCGTCACTGTGAAATATTTGCGCAGTCTTGGACCCTCGACGGTTGCAGGCGGTGCAAACACGTGCCCCCGTGGTTCACGAAGCGAGAGATCGACGTCGTTCGAAAAAATGTTGCACCCACTGAGGAGATCCGTGAACGGCGCGCACCATAAATTACGGAAATTATTTTACGTCAAGGATTTTGTAACGCTGATACGACCATACGTCTTTCTCATGTCCGTTCTCGGATACTTCCCGTACAGCGTCTCATTGTCGACGTACAAGTCCGTCAAGAAGAACCTTGCCTGGTCCTTGATAATCTTGATCAAAATCACACTGCTGTACTCCATTCTGCTGTACAAGATGTTGTCGATGGACGTAATGAAAGACTTCAGCGTGAGGTTGCATTACAGCAGTATCTACATCTTCGGTCTCGTCTGTTTTTGGACCAGCTACTTGTCGTCCAGATCTAAACTACACCTTCTTCGCATGATCTCGACCGCGTCCCGATTGCTGTCACCTAAAACGTTCCACAGAACCGCCAAGTGGATGTTCGCGATAGACTTCCTGAAGATCGCCGTGTTCCTGAGCTACCTGTTCTCCATTAGCAGGGATCCATGGGCGGCCTCGTTCTACCTGATGAGCTACTTCGTCTTTTTGGTGGCACTGGTGATGATCATGCTGTTTGTAAACTGTCTGTACGTGTTGAATCTTTGTTTTTGCAAAATCAACACATCTCTGGAGAAGTTGAGGACGAGCCTGGTCACCGACGAGCCTCATCTGCTCAGAAGGGTGTATCATTCGCAGAAGAATCCTACGCTGCTGTCAGAGCTGAAGACGCTTCGGAGACAGTATCTAGAACTTGCCAAAATCGTTGACGCGTCGAACGACACGTTCGGTCTGGAGATGATCGTACTAATCGCGTTGACCATGATGGATATCACTTTTAACTTGTACACCTATTTGGTACTAAATACCGACGACGGTAAGATCGTGAATTTGTGGTCGATAAACATCAAGTATCTCGCTAATAATTGCCAGGGTTTGATCTTTATGGCTATCGTGTGCGAGATGGTGAAGGATCAGGCGAAGAACATAGCTTACAATATACATCGGATTCTCGTGATCACGTTCGACGAACAGATCTCCACGGAGGTAAGGAACGGTAGGGGATGAGATGGTCGCGCACATTTCTGCTGCTTACGTGTTTTCGAAATCGTCGTTGTAAAAGTACTTATTCTCATTACAAAATTTACCGAAATCGCGAAAGTACCGTTTCAGCAAATTATTAAAGTTTATAGATTCCGTGTTCGATTCCACTGATTTGTACACAATGTTAAAAAATCTAGCATGTTATTAGAGAATCCATAAGAGTAATCCGCGGACACATAATCATCGGAACTTTTGTTTCTAAATTCGGCAACACAGTTGGCGTTGTTCTCCATGCAAGTCCTGCAGCAGAACCATACAATCGTGGCAAGAGGCCTGGTGATAGACGTCACCCTGTTGACGAAGGTAAGGGATCCGTAACCTATGCTTACAGAAAGAAACTTCATCCCCTTCGTTTACAGATAGTGGGCATCATCACGACCTATCTGCTGATCCTAATACAATTCCTCCTGACGACACCCTGCTGAAGATCGTTCCGAAGCAAATTACAGAACTACGTGTGCATAAACACCACGCTACAGACATTTCATCGCATTAAAAGCGTTCGATAACATCGTCGCTGTCCATCCGAAGATGAACTTTGCGTTACTTATTCAGAACCACGTCACATCACGCCTGAACTTGTGTGTACGTTTTCTTTAAAAAAAATACCCGCCCATCGATTATGATGAATCAGTCGCATGACCTATTCTTGGGGAAAAAAAAGAGGAAAAAAGAGAGGACGTTATTGCACAATCTGTTGCACGATGTTCGGAAGCACGATAAGGATCGGAACCATAAACAGCCGTCAACCGTGGCGGCCATTGCGAGCCGGAAATCTCTCGTCGTTGATGTACCCTAACTTCGTTTTCTCGCTGACACTCGGACTCTTTCCTTACAAGAGCAATCCCACGGGATACGTGTTCACGAAAATGCGATTCGTTTGGTCGATGATCACGCAACTGGTCTACGTAGTACTATTGGCGTTTGCACTGTACGACATAAACGTGAACCTCAACAATAGCACGGTCGAGGTGATCGACCTGAACGCGTTCATGATCTCGGAGGGATTGATGATACTGGTGATGCATGGTTTGGCGTACCAGAGGTTTCATTTGCTGGAAAAATTGGGCAAGCTCACGCGGATGCTATCCGAGCAGGACTTCGAGAACATGGCGAAGTTCGTGCACACGAAGGACATCTTCGGCATCATCTTCCTCATCCTGCACCTGCCGAACTGTATCGTTGGTTTGAACCAGGCGACCTTGAGTTGTCTAACGATTTTATACGTGCTGTTGGTGTACCTGGCCCTGGACATGACCTACGTGAACTGTGTCTACGTATTGAGAGCGTGCTTCGTCAAAATCAACGAGAACTTGAAGCAGTTGAACGAACACAAAAAACCATTGCTGGCCAGTGTGTCCTCGCAAAGAGGACGAAGTTTCCTGTTGCTGGTGAAGCTGAAACACTACGAGGAGCTGCACCAGGAGACCAGCGATGCTGTCCAGTACTTGAATAAGGCATTTCTCTTTAGGATCATCGTCGCGACGATCGTCACGTTCACTGTGGTTACATTCAATTTGTACTTTGCTATCCTGTTTCACAGCACCGGGGTTAAGCAGTATAAGTTTAAGAGGGTGTTTTTCTTCCCGCATNAAAAAAGAGAGGACGTTATTGCACAATCTGTTGCACGATGTTCGGAAGCACGATAAGGATCGGAACCATAAACAGCCGTCAACCGTGGCGGCCATTGCGAGCCGGAAATCTCTCGTCGTTGATGTACCCTAACTTCGTTTTCTCGCTGACACTCGGACTCTTTCCTTACAAGAGCAATCCCACGGGATACGTGTTCACGAAAATGCGATTCGTTTGGTCGATGATCACGCAACTGGTCTACGTAGTACTATTGGCGTTTGCACTGTACGACATAAACGTGAACCTCAACAATAGCACGGTCGAGGTGATCGACCTGAACGCGTTCATGATCTCGGAGGGATTGATGATACTGGTGATGCATGGTTTGGCGTACCAGAGGTTTCATTTGCTGGAAAAATTGGGCAAGCTCACGCGGATGCTATCCGAGCAGGACTTCGAGAACATGGCGAAGTTCGTGCACACGAAGGACATCTTCGGCATCATCTTCCTCATCCTGCACCTGCCGAACTGTATCGTTGGTTTGAACCAGGCGACCTTGAGTTGTCTAACGATTTTATACGTGCTGTTGGTGTACCTGGCCCTGGACATGACCTACGTGAACTGTGTCTACGTATTGAGAGCGTGCTTCGTCAAAATCAACGAGAACTTGAAGCAGTTGAACGAACACAAAAAACCATTGCTGGCCAGTGTGTCCTCGCAAAGAGGACGAAGTTTCCTGTTGCTGGTGAAGCTGAAACACTACGAGGAGCTGCACCAGGAGACCAGCGATGCTGTCCAGTACTTGAATAAGGCATTTCTCTTTAGGATCATCGTCGCGACGATCGTCACGTTCACTGTGGTTACATTCAATTTGTACTTTGCTATCCTGTTTCACAGCACCGGGGTTAAGCAGTATAAGTTTAAGAGGGTGTTTTTCTTCCCGCATATCGAAGCAATGACGTTTTATCTCGGTAAGTTCGCGATGATGATTATGATGTGCGAGTCCGCGAAGAAGAAGGCTCAGGAAATTTGTACAACGGTTCACGAGATCCTTAGCAAGTGCACCGACGAAAAGGTCAGGCATGAGGTAATTGATCAAGTCTTTGCGGCTTCCGTGAAACGTTAGTTTGTCTCTTGGAATAAATTGAGATTTAATTGGTCATTGTAGGGCAACGTAGCACCTCGAAGATTTGCCGGATCAAACATTTGCAAGCGAGAAAATCAAAATTGTCTGTATCGATCGCAAGGTACAGAAACTGCGTAAATTGTTGTTTCTTTTCCTTGCGAGAAGATTCGATCAATTAAATAAATTTATTGCAAAGAATTTATTTCTGGACGACCTAATGCTAGAAAGTTTGTGGCGTGGACGTGACATTATTATAATGATATTCGGTAACTAGAAAAACAATTCGGTAACTAACAGGTGTGATTTTCCAGCTGAGAATGTTTGCATTGCATGTGTTACATCGGGATAACAGGTTTTGCGCAAAAGCAATTACGATGGATGCGAGACTCTTAACGCAGGTAAGCCGTGTTGGTTAGTGACAGAGATAACAAATTGATTTGCTTATGCGTTCACATTGATTTATAGATTGTTGGCGGAATTGCAATGTACATGTTGATACTGTTCCAATTTCGAATAAATGACGCCACCTGTAGAAATCCTAAGCATGTCGATGTATAATGTCACGCTGTATGTGAATAGAATCTAACATAGTGCAATAAATAAACGAAGAATTGCCGTCAGTCTACGTTATTTAAAACATTATTGTACAAGTGAAATGCTTTCTTCCAAACATTTCATATTATCACGATATCTGCGGAAATATTTAGATAGATTAGCTCACAGGTAGCTCATTCACAAACATTTCGATGATCACGTACAATATACACTACCGGCAAGTACTTAATCACGAAGTGCATTCTGATAACGTCATCTGTATTAGCTTTCAAGTGCCATTTTATTTATTCAAGACCTCTCTTCATTATGGTATTGAATTTCTAGATCAGCATTTCAAGAAGCATCTATCAGTCATTTCGAATATCGTTCATGAAAATAGTACGCGCGTTTAGTTTCCGAAACGCGTTCATTCGAGTCGGTTGCAACACAGTCTACAGTATTTGTAATAAATAAACTGTGCACCTTTCACTAAAATAAAGACTTTCTGCATCAACTGTCAATAGCACAAGTTAAGTAAAAATGCACTTTCATTCTGAACAAATTTTTGAGAATCAATGATATTTCAAGCATATTTCTTAACTCTTCTTACGTTTTTGTTGCTTCGCTCACTTATCTTTGTGACATCTACAGTCTCCCTGCAAACTGAGTATTACAAAACTGTGAAGTAATCAACGTGGACTGCCGCACAGCTTTCCTGTCACCTACAAATTATAAATCATCGAGCAATGAGAAAGCGCACGACGAGAACCAGAGATTTCAAAGACCACAAGGGATGCCTGCTATTTCGCGCTACGGACTTTGCGTCCCTAATGCGTCCCATCATGTTTTTCTCGGGGACATTCGGCTTTTTTCCATGCAACTATAAATCCGAAGAATACGTGTTCTCGAAGAAAAAATTCGTCTACTCGATAATCATAATCTGTCTTCATTTGGTTCTCCAAGTCCATAACTTTTTATTAATCAATTTTTTCGACACGAGCAGCCCCTTAACGCAATCAATGCCGGAGAACTTCTTCGTTCTCTTGGACGGATCTTTACCTCTGCTGCTGTTCGTGGCACCGTTCTCAATGACAGCCATGTTCCAACAATTGTCGAAGCTCTCGCGCACATTGTCGCGCCCGGATTTCAGTGACATGGCGAAAGTAATTCACGCGGTTTACATCGTGAACGTTGTTTATTACATAATATCTATACTAACAAATTATTGGGTTGTTGTAAGTATACCTGTGGGGCGACGTTTGATTAACATGTACCTGGCGACGTCATCGACCATGACGATATTGTGTTACGTGAGCTGCGTGCGTCTTTTGGGCGCGTGCTTCAAGAAACTTAACGAAAATCTGAAGCAACTGAATGGACCTTCGCAGGATCTTCATATAGAATTGGCAGAGAAGCAGTTGTCACGAAGACAAAGTACCATGTTGTTGACGAAGGTGAAATATTACGAGGATGTGCACGAGAAAATCTGCGACGCTGTCGTACACCTGAACGCGTTGTTCCGCACGATGAACATCATTTTCACGACATCCACTTTCATTTTGGTCTCTTTTAATCTGTACAATATTTTTGCGACTTGGTTTTTCAGCGTTCGTATAATATCGGTGGATGAGAACCTTCTCCTGGTTATTGGATTGTCATATACGGTACTAAAATTTGGAATGTTCTGTGTAACGATTTGGTTCTGCGATTCTGCCGCAAACCATGCTGCGGAGATTGCTACCACGATTCACGATTGTGTCAGCCACTGTACGGATGATACTGTCAAGAGCGAGGTAATTGATCAGTTAGATTTCACGTCTTTTTATTTCTCTTCTGTAGATGAAAAGTGTATAAAGATACCGGTTGCAGCGTTCGATGCTGAACTGTTGAATCGCAAAATTCTCAATTTCAATGCATACGTCTTTGTATAATGTTCTTAACGAATTGAGTATCGTGAAATTGATTCTACTCGTTAATTGATTACCTAGTACTAAAGACTATCTATTAAAATATGCATTGAGATACATAATTATTAATATGCATGTATTAATATGCATTAAGTTTACATAACCAACGCGGTAATCAACGTGTTAATTATTTTCTCTCAGTAGTTTAGAAACTTCTTCATGTCATTACTGTATAAAATAATGTTTACACTGTTACAGTTGAAGTACTTCGGCCTGCAAGTGATGCACAGAGACATTACGTTCACGACGAAAGCGTTTGATATTAATGGGAAGCTTCTGTCGCAGGTAAGGTCCATTATTATGAAAAAGAAAATTAATGATACAGAAATTTGAAGATTCTCCGTCATATTCTCTTGAATTAGTTGGCCATTTCTGTATCACTGGAAATAATGAAAATGGTCACACAATATGTATAACAGCGGCGATTCATTTACAGACACTCAGTGGAATTCTCATGTACATGATGATACTCTATCAATTTTTAACAAGTTCCAATTGCACCAACTAACCGCGGCGCTTGCGCCACGATCAACGCATTTTCCTGAACTAACGTAATTTCGTGTGACACGTTAGCCTGATCAGTGGTTCGACAGCCACGGGGAGGCAACAGGGTGTTGTGCATGCGCTGATACCTGTGATAATTCGTGGCTCAGCTGTTTGGTACTAGCACGCAACGTAGTGTAATGAAGAGATTGGGAATCTTTATGTTAAATACAATCTCGTTATCTCAATTTCACCAAACAGCAATAAAGTCGACATCTGTTTCATGTTAACTTTTGTCTTAATTAGTGAATTATTCTTAAACCTTCCGTGAAATATCATGATTGTCTTGCGAAGAAGAGTCAAATTTCCCATGATCCTACTTTATATTTATTTGTATTTTCTACTTTATAATTGATCGTTTAATTATGTTAATGGAGCTATTTCATTCTTAAATCCTCCCGACACTTTAACTGTTTCGTCTACTCTCAAGAAGTCTGTTTGCACCAAAGTTCGCAGTCTACTAAAGAATAAACAGCTAAATTTAAATAGAAAACTGCTGTTTCATTACTTTCATCGATTTCAGAGAAGCACCGTGTAAATTGCCATTGAACTTCCGAGCGAGCACGACAAAATGATTGCAACTGACTTTTTAATTTCTTTAATAGGTATGATACAGATAACATCATCGATATTAATACAAATACAATTATCGTGTCATGATCTCCAGTCATAACTGCATTAACACGATGAAAAGATCTCCATTTAATAAAACTTAATTGCTCATAAAATACACGATTCGCACAGTGCACCAGTTGCATTCGTTTCAGCTAGCAGCTACCAATTACATAGTTCTTTTCTATTACACCGGCAAATTTGATGTTCCTCTGAACTTGATCTACAAGTATAAAACCTAAAGCCTAATTTGTCGATCTCTGAACCGGATTAAACACTATCAGCGTTAAAATAATAGAGTGAAAGTTGCAAGACTCTCAACTGTCTGTTCTCTTCGCAGTTATTGATCAATCTCTACGATGAACCCGATTTAATCTCGCATACCGTGCGGGAGAACCTTAATCGTGGAGTGATAACGGGTTTTAGGCACATCAAACACTCAACAGTTAGATACAGTGATAAGATTCGGTTGGATCTAAAACCGCGCGAAATTTATCTGTGACAACGAGTTCTCCGTTTAAGCCGCTCAAACGTCAATATTATGTTTCTCTTCGTCGTAACTGCGACGCAATTTTTAAAGTCGTGGCGTTATCAGACTGACAACCATACGTCGCGGTAAATGATCACATGACCCCCGGATACGGCGTCTTTTAATTTCCCTCCAGCCGCCCGAATAAATTACTGTCATCCGCGTTGTTTTCCGATGCCATCATCTGCTTGCGAAATCAGCACAAAGTACGAAACCTCGTTAACGTCGCGTTATTTGACGGATATGCAGAGATGTTATCAATTAGTTGACGGTATATCCCATAAGCTATCGACTCGATGGCATCTTGCGATTAAAATGCAAGAATGATACTATCGGATGCGCCATAGGATGATGGGGATAAAAGTCGAATGATTCTGAGATGTTGATAATTTAAGTGGTGAGCACACTTTAGTGTCACTTGTTTTAACCCTGACGTATTAGATTATCAATTAGATAGACAATTAGATTGTCTTTTCTTTACATAACCGTACGTTTTGTTTGAACACTACCATTGTGTCACCAGAATGTCCGCAAATATTAATGCAACTCGTTTCATTGAATTTTCTTTGCGATACACAAGAAAGCGCGCAACGAACTATGCAGCTGCTGAATGACGTCCATACGTCACTATAAATTGGACTCAAACAACGGACACAAATTAGAAAATAATTACGTCAACAAACGACGAACGCAATCATAAAAATGGTCATGTCGAAAGACACCGCAAAGACAATTCAGATAATGTCGCCGGAATTGCAGATACGCGAGATGCCCATCAAATTATGTGAAGTGTTTCCCCATCATCGAGCGCATGCAGTTCAATTAGATTCGCAGAAAAAAAGACAAGTTTCATAGTTTCGCAGACTGATCGTGCATTATCAATATTGTTCTCTGTCTACCTTACTGTCACTATGGAACATTTGCGCAGTCTTAGACCTTCGATGGTCGCAAACGGTGCAAACCGAGGCCCGTGGTTCACGAAGCGAGAGATTAACATTATTCGAAAAATGTTACAGTCACTGAGAAGGTCCGCGAATGTCGAGTACCAGAAATTACGGAGATTATTTCACATCAAGGATTTTGCAACGCTGATACGACCATACGTCTTTCTCATGTCCGTTCTCGGATATTTCCCGTACAGCGTCTCATTGTCAACGCACAAGCTTGCCAAGATGAACTTTGTCTGGTCCTTGATACTGTTGATCCACATCACATCGTTGTGTCTCATGCTGACGTACAAGACAATGTTTGCGACGGAGTATTTAGATTTCTACATGAGATTATATTGCGGCAGCGTTTACTTTTTAGGTCTCATTTGCCTTTGGACAAGCTACCTGTCATCTCGGACGAAACTGCACTTTCTTCGCATGGTTTCGCATGCAACCCGACTGCTATCTCCCGAAACATTCTGCAGGACTGCCAAATGGATGTTCACGATAGACATCATCAAGATCAGCATTTTAATATCTTCCGTGTTCATGATAAATTATAATCTATGGTCGATCACATACTACATGAGTAGCATGTACATATTCTTAGTGATACTGACAGCGAACTCGCTTTTCATAAATTCTCTGTACTTAGTACGTCTTTGTTTTCGTAAAATCAACGCATCTCTGGAGAAATTGGGGACCAGTTTGGCTACTGACGAACCTCATCTGCTCAGAAGGGTGTATCATTCGCGGAAGAATCCTGCGCTGCTCTCGCAGCTGAAGACACTTAGAAAACAGCACCTACAACTTTGCAAAATTGTTGATACCTCGAATGAGACCTTCGGTGTGGAGACCATTGCTACCATCCTGTTCATTGTGATAGATATCACGTTCAATTTGTATATGTACTTGATAGAAAATACTTACGACGGTAAGATCGTGCGCGTGTGGTCGGTGCACATGGAGTATCTGATTCAGAGTTGCCAGAGTCTGATCATGATGGCTGTGGTGTGCGAGATGATGAAGGATCAAGCGAAGAACATTGGTTACAACATACATCGGATTCACGTGATTACCTTCGATGAAGAGATCATCACCGAGGTAAGGAAAGCAGGGGGAAGGCGGCCGGCGTTTTGTCGTTACCGAACCAATTAAATCTCAAGACGCGAAGAGGATTTGTGCATACGTAATTATTTGCGTCGAATTGCGACAAATATTTGTTATAAATAGTTGAAATCGTTGCATTAGCATTTTCCAATTGAATTGAAGCAAGTCGATAATATTGAAGCAAGTCCAATATTGCCATTACTTTTTCTCCATCTCATTAATTATAAAGAAGCACGTTCGAGAAGGGTATGAATAAAGCAAGAACGATGCATCGCTTCAGAATAAAAATAACATTACTAAATCCAGAGATACGTAATCGTCATAATTTTTCTTTCCATATTCGGGACAACAGTTGTCGTCGTTTTCGATGCAAGTTCTGCAGAGGAACCACACAATCGTGGCAAGAGGGCTAGTGATAGACGTCACCCTGTTGACCAAGGTAAGGGATCCGAACTCATTGCCTACGAAATTAGTTGCACATCTCTCATTTACAGACAGTGGGAATCATCGCGACCTATCTGCTGATCTTGATACAATTCTTCCTGATAACACCCTGTTGAAAAAAGTGACGAGAGACTGTATCGCTTGGACATAAATTACGGAACTATGTATACGCGCCAAGCTAGAGACACTTCATCCCGTTAAAAGCGTTCGATACCATCGTCGCAGTCAATTCGAAGATGAACCGTATGTTACTTATTCAGAACCTCATTACATCGTGACTGATCTTGTGTACGTTTTCGAAAAAAATGTAGCTGCCCGCAGACTATGATGGATCAGTCGCTTGTACCATTCTTGAAAAGAAAGAAAGCAGGAACCGTGATTGCACAATCTGCTGCACAATGTTCGAAAGCACGATAAGGATCGGAACCGTAAACAGCCGTCAATCATGGCGGCCATTGCGAGCCACGAATCTCACATCATTAGTGTACCCTAACATCGTTTTCTCTCTGGTGCTCGGATTCTTTCCGTACAAGAGCAATCCTACATACGCGTTCGCGAAAATGCGATTCGTTTGGTCGATGATAACGCAACTGATCTACATAGTACTATTGGCCGTTGCCCTGTACAACACAAATGTCAACCTCAGCAACAGTACGGTCGAGGTGATCGACCTGAACATGTTCTTCATCTCAGAGGGATTAACGATCCTGGTGATGTATGGTTTGGCGCATCAGAGGTTTCATTTGTTGAGAAAATTGCGGAAGCTCACGCGGATGCTATCCGAGCAGGACTTCGAGAACATGGCGAAGTTCGTGCACACGAAGGACATCTTCGGCATCGTCGTGCTCCTCCTGCACCTGCCGAACTGTATCGCTGGTCTGAGCCAGATGACCTTTAGTTGTCTCACGATAATATACGTGTCGATGGTGTACCTCGCTCTAGACATGGCCTACATGAATTGTGTGTACGTCTTGAGAGCCTGCTTCATCAAAATCAACGAGGACTTGGAACAGTTAAACGAAGATGAAGGACCGTGGCTGGCTAGTGTGTCTTCGCATAAAGGACGAAGTTTCCTATTGCTGGTGAAGCTGAAGCACTACGAGAAGCTGCACCAGGAGACCAGCGATGTCGTTCAGTACTTGAATAAGGCGTATCTCTTTCGGATCATCGTCGCGTCGATCTGCACGTTTACTTCGGTTACATTCAATTTGTACTTTGCTATCCTATCTTACACCACCGGACATATTGAGTTTAAGCATAAGAGGATCTGGTACATCCCGCATATTGGAGCAGTGATCTTTTATTTTTGTAAGTTCGCAATGATGATTATGATGTGCGAGTTCACGAAGAAGGAGGCTCAGGAAATTGGTACCACGATCCATGAGATCCTCAGCAAGTGCACCGATGACACGGTCAAGCGCGAGGTAATTGCTGCTGATGGTTGAATCTTTGAATCTTAATACTTACTTCTGCTTCTTGCTAGAAGATTTGATTAACTAAATCAATTTATTACAAGTGAAACTACACTCTTTATACATCATGCGCGGAAAACAATTTATTTGTAGATGACCCAATGCTAGAAAGTTTGTGGCATGAACGTGACAGTATTTTAATAATGTTCAGTAACTAGGAAGATTAATTGAGCAACTAACAAGTGTGCTGTTTCAGCTGAGGATGTTTGCTTTGCAAGTGTTGCATCGGGATAATAAGTTTTCTGCAAAAGCAATTGCAATGGATGCGAGACTCTTAACGCAGGTAAACCGTGCTGATTAGTGACAGAGATAATAAATTAATTTACTTATGCATTCACATTGATTTATAGATGGTAGGTGGAATTATAATGTACATCTTGATACTGTTCCAATTTCTAATAAATGAGGCTGCCTGCAGAAATGTTAAGCATATCGATGAATAATGTCACGCTGTTTGTAAATAATGTATAGCATAGCGTAATAAACAAACGAAGAATTGCCGTCAGTCTAAACTATTTAGAACATTATTTTCCAAGTAAAATGAACTAAGATGACGGTCGAAGTAGCGTAAGAAAGAAAGGGTTGTGCACTGTGTAAAACCAAAGGAACTTTCTTCCAAACAATTTATTTTGTCACGGCATCTATGAAGATATTTAAGTAGATTAACTCAGGTAACACATGGTCAGTTATTTCAATATATAGTACCGTCAAGTACTTTATCACGAAGTGCATTCTGATAGCATCAACTATATTAGCTTTCAAGTGCCATTTTGTTGATTCAAGACCTCGCTTCATTACGGTATTGAATTTATAGATCTGCAACTCAAGAAACTGTCAGTTATCAGTCATTTCAAATATTGTTCATGAAAACAGTACGTGCGTTTAGTTTCCGAAACGCGTTCATTCGAGTCGGTTGCAACATAGTCTACAGTATTTGTAATAAATAAACTGTGCACCTTTCACTAAAATAAAAACTTCCTGCATCAACTGTCAATAGCGGAAGTTAAGTAAAAATGCACTTTCATTCTCAACAAAGGTTGGAGGATCAATGATATTTCAAGCATATTTCTTACCTCTAATTACGTTTTTGTTGCGTTGTTCACTTATCTATGCGACATGTACAGTCTCCCTGCAAACTAAGTATTACAAAACTGTTAAGTAATCAACGTGGACTGACACACAACAGCTTTCCTGTCACCAACAAATTATAAATCATCGAGCAATGAGAAAGCGCACGACGAGAACCAGAGATTTCAAAGACCAGAAAGGATGCCTGCTATTTCGCGCTACGGACTTTGCGTCTCTAATGCGTCCTATCATGTTTTTCTCGGGGATATTCGGCTTTTTTCCATGCAACTATAAATCCGAAGAATACGTGTTCTCGAAGAAAAAATTCGTCTACTCGATAATCATAATCTGTCTTCATTTGGTTCTCCAAGTCCATAACTTTTTATTAATCAATTTTTTCGACACGAGCAGCCCCTTAACGCAATCAATGCCGGAGAACTTCTTCGTTCTCTTGGACGGATCTTTACCTCTGCTTCTGTTCGCAGCACCGTTCTCAATGATAGCCATGTTCGAGCAGTTGTCGAAGGTCTCACGCACATTGTCGCGCCCGGATTACAGTGCCATGGCGAAAGTAATTCACACGGTTTACATCGTGAACATTGTTTACTACGTGATTTCTACACCGATAAATTATTGGTCGGTTATGAATTTACCTGTGCGGCGACGTTTGGTTAATTTGTACCTGGCGATGTCATCGACAATGACGGTAATGTGCTACGTGAGCTGCGTAAGTGTTTTGGGCGCGTGCTTCCAGAAACTTAACGAAAATCTGAAACAGTTGAATGGATCTTCGCGGGAACTTCGCACGGAATTGGCAGAGAAGCAGTTGTCACAAAGACGAAGTACCATGTTGTTGACGAAGGTGAAATATTACGAGGAGGTGCACGAGAAAATCAGCGACGGTATCGAACACCTGAATACATTGTTTCGCACGATGAACATTATTTTTACGACTACCACTTTCATTTTGGTCACTTTCACTCTGTACAATGTGTTCACGGTATGGTATGCCAGTGACGGTGTAAGAACGACGAGTGACATGCTTTTCCTATTTGATGGATTGTCATATACGGTATTAAAGTTTGGGTTGTTCTGTCTAAAGATCTGGTTCTGCGAGACTGCCGCAAACCATGCGACGGAGATCACTACCACGATTCATGATTGCGTCAGCAGCTGTGCTGATGATACTGTCAAGCGCGAGGTAATTGTCCAGATGGATTGCACGTCTTTATTTCTGTTCTGTAAATGAAAAGATTATAATGATTCTATTGACATGTTCAATGCTGAACAATCGATGCACAAAATTCGCAACGTTAATGCATATATCTGTGTGTAATGTTCTGAATGGATAACTAGTACCGAAAGCTATCTGTTAAAATATGCAGTATGAAGTAGTTAACATAAACCATGCGCGCTAATCAACGTGTTAATTATTGTTTCTCAGTAGTTTAGAAATTTGTGCATGTCATTACTGCATGTAATAATTTTTATATTGTTACAGTTGAAGTGCTTTGCCCTGCAAGTTATGCACAGAGATATTAGGTTCACGACGAAAGCGTTCGACATTAATGGGAAGCTTCTATCGCAGGTAAGATACAGTATAACGAAAGGGGGTGTTAATGACATTTTCTTTTGCATTAGTTGGTCGTTTCTGTGTCATTTGTTGTTTTGTAATTGCTAGTCAATGTTCGTCAGAAATTCTGTACCTGTACATTATAACATCTGCGATTTGTTTACAGATTCTGAGTGCAATATTCACGTACATGATGATACTCTATCAATTTTTAACGGGATCCAATTGCACCAACTAACCGCTGCGTTCGCGCGACGATCGACACATTTTTCTGAACATACACAATTTCGTGTGGCACGTTAGCCTGATCAGAGGTTTGACAGCCACCGGGAGGCAACAGGGAAGAGATTGGGAATTTTTATGTTAAATACAATTTCGTTACCTGAATTTCATGAAACAGCAATAAAGTCGACATCTGTTTCACGTTACTCTTGTCTTAATTGGTGAATTATTTTTAAACCATACGCGATAAATGATCACACGATGATTGCATCTTTTAATTTCCCTTCAGCCGGCCAAATAAATTATTGTCATCCGCGTTGTTTCCCGACGTCATCAGCTATTTGCGAAATCAGCGCGAAGTACGAAAACTCGTTAGCGTCGCGTCACTTGACGTGGTTGAAAAGCAAGAATGATATCATTGGATTGCCATGGGATGATGTGGATAAAAATCGGATGATTCTGAAATGTTGATAAACAACTGTACGTTTTGTTTGAACGCTATCATTGCTTCACCAGAATGTCCGCAAACATTAATGTAACTCGGTTCATTGAATTTGATTTGCAATGTCTAAGAACGCAAGTAACAAACAACGTAGCTGCTGATCGACGTCCATTCGTCACTATAAATTGGATTCAAACAACGAGCACAAATTAGAAAACAGTATGTGCAATCTCATCAACAAACGACGAACGCAATCATGAAAAAAGGTCACGTAGAAAGACACCGCAAAGACAATTCAGATAATGTCGCCGGAATTGCAGATACGCGAGATGCCCATCAAATTATGGGAAGTGTTTCCCCATCATCGAGCGTATGCAGTTCAATTAGATTCGCAGAAAAAAAACAAGTTTCATAGTTTCGCAGACTGATCGTGCATTACCAATATTGTTCTCTGTCTACCTTACTGTCACTATGGAATATTTGCGCAGTCTTAGACCTTCGATGGTCGCAAACGGTGCAAACCGAGGCCCGTGGTTCACGAAGCGAGAGATTAACATTATTCGAAAAATGTTACAGTCACTGAGAAGGTCCGCGAATGTCGAGTACCAGAAATTACGGAGATTATTTCACATCAAGGATTTTGCAACGCTGATACGACCATACGTCTTTCTCATGTCCGTTCTCGGATATTTCCCGTACAGCGTCTCATTGTCAACGCACAAGCTTGCCAAGAAGAACTTCGCTTCGTCCTTGATACTGTTGATCCACATCACATTGCTATGTCCCATACTGATTTACAATACCTCTTTCTTCGAAAAGTATACAGATATCTCGATGAGGTTGTCTTGCGCCTGCATTTTCGTTTTTGGACTCGCGTGTCTTTGGGCAATCCATTTTTCGTCCCGATCGAAACTGCATTTTCTTCGCTTGGTTTCGAATGCATCCCGAGTGCTATCATCCGAAACGTTCTGCTCCACTGCAAAGAAGATGTTCACGATAGACATTATAAAGTTCAGCGTCCTCGTGTCCCTCGCATCCGCCGCGGAATATGATCCATGGTCGTTCGTACAGTTCATGATTTGCTGGTACATATTCTTAGTGGCTTTGGTTGTGAACACGCTTTTCGTCAATTCTTTGTACGTAGTATGTCTTTGTTTTCGCGAAGTCAGCAGATCTCTGGAGAAATTGAGGATGAGTCTGGTTACTGACGAACCTCATGTGCTCAGAAGGGTGTATCATTCGCAGAAGAATCCCACGCTGCTCTCGGAGCTGAAGACGCTTAGGAGACAGCATCTGCAACTTTGCAAAATTATTGATACGGCGAATGAGACCTTCGGCCGTGAGACCATTGCCATCATCTCGTTGACCATGATAACTATCACGTTCAATTTGTTTGTGTATTTGTCAGAAAATACTTACGATGGTAAGATCGTGCGTTTGTGGTCGATGCAGCTGGAGTATCTCGTTTATAACTGCCACGGTCTGATCTTTATGGCTGTGGTGTGCGAGATGGTGAAGGATCAAGCGAAGAATATTGGTTACAACATACATCGGATTCTCGTGATTACCTTCGATGAGGAGATCATCACCGAGGTAAGGAAAGCAAGGGGAAGGCGGCCGGCGTTTTGTCGTTACCGAACCAATTAAATCACAAGTCGCGAAGAGGATTCGTGCATACGTAATTATTTGCGTCAAATTGCGACAAATATTTGTTATAAATAGTCGAAATCGTTGCATTAGAATTTTCCAATTGAATTGAAGCAAGTCGATAATATTGAAGCAAGTCCAATATTGCCATTACTTTTTCTCCACTCCATTAATTATAAAGAAGCATGTTCGAGAAGGGTATGAATAAAGCAAAGAACGATGCATCGCCTCAGAATAAAAATAACATTACTAAGTCCAGAGATACGTAATCGTCATAATTTTTCTTTCCATATTCGGGACAACAGTTGTCGTCGTTTTCGATGCAAGTTCTGCAGCAGAACCACACAATCGTGGCGAAAGGGCTAGTGATAGACATCACCCTGTTGACAAAGGTAAGGGATCCGAACTCGTTGCCTACGAAATTAGTTGCACATCTTTCATTTACAGATAGTGGGAATCATCGCGACCTATCTGCTGATCCTAATACAATTCCTTCTGATGACACCGTGCTGAAGAAAGCAACAAAAGACCGTATCGTTTCCAAGAAAATTACAGAACTATGTGCACGCACCACGCTACAGGCATTTCATCCCATTAAAAGCGTACGATAACATCGTGGCTGTCAATTCGAAGATAAACTCTGCGTTATTTATTCAGTAGATCATGACATCATGACCGACTCGCGTACGTTTTAAAGAAAATAACTGTCCACCGACTGCGATGGCACAGTCGCATAACCTGTTCATCGGAAGAAAGATATGTAGCAAGTATTCCTAAATCTGTATACCCACGATTTGTTGCACAATGTTTGAGAGCACGAGAAGGCTTAGTACCTTAGAGTGTAGCGAGTCATGGCGACCATACCGTGCCACGAACTTCTTATCGTTGATGTACCCTAACATCGTTTTCTCCAAGATTCTCGGATTCTTTCCGTACAAATGCACGCCCTCAGAATTTGTGTTCTCTGACACGAGATTTCTTTTGTCCGCGATCACACAGCTGGTCTACATATTTCTATTGGCCTCGGCGCTGTACAACGCGAACATCAACATCGAGAAGAGCACAGTCGAGGTGATAGACCGGAACGTGTTCCTCATCTCGGAAGGAATCATGGTGCTGGTGATGTACGGTTTGTCGAACCAGCGGTACCATTTGTTCAAGAAACTGGGAAAGCTCTCGCGGATGCTGTCTAAACAGGACTTCCAGAACATGGCGAAGTTCGTGCACACGAAGGACATCTTCGGCATCATCTTCCTCATCCTGCACCTGCCGAACTGTATCGTTGGCCTGAATGAGACGACCTTGAGTTGTCTAACGATTTTATACGTGTTGATGGTGTACCTGGCCTTGGACATGACCTACATGAACTGTGTGTACGTCTTGAGAGCCTGCTTCGTCAAAATCAACGAGAACTTGAAGCAGTTGAACGAGCATGAAGAACCATGCCTGGCTACTGTGTCCCCGCACAGAGGACGAAGCTTCCTGCTGCTGGTGAAGCTGAAATACTGCGAAGAGCTGCACCAGGAGACCAGCGATGTTGTCCAGTGCTTGAATAAGGCGTTTCTCTTTCGGATCGTCATAGCGGCGATCATCACGTTCACTGTGATTACGTTCAATATGTACTTCGCTATTTTAGGATACGGCGTCACAGTTTGGATGAAACAGCGTAAGAGTTTCTGGTACTTCCCGCATCTTGAAGCGGTGACGTTTTATCTCTCTAAGTTTGCGATGATGGTGATAATGTGCGAGTCCGCGATGAAGAAGGCTCAAGAAATTGGAACCACGATCCATGAGATCCTCAGCGAGTGCACCGATGAAACGGTCAAGCGCGAGGTAATTGCTACTGATGGTTGAATCTTTGAATCTTAATACTTACTTCTGCTTCTTGCTAGAAGATCTGATTAACTAAATCAATTTATTACAAGTGAAACTACACTCTTTATATATATCATGCGCGGAAAACAATTTATTTGTAGACGACCTAATGCTAGAAAGTTTGTGGCATGAACGTGACAGTATTTTAATAATGTTCAGTAATTAGGAAGATTAATTGAGCAACTAACAAGTGTGATGTTTCAGCTGAGGATGTTTGCTTTGCAAGTGTTGCATCGGGATAACAAGTTTTCTGCAAAAGCAATTGCGATGGATGCGAGACTCTTAACGCAGGTAAGCCGTGCTGATTAGTGACAGAAATAATAAATTAATTTACTTATGCATTCACATTGATTTATAGATCGTAGGTGGAATTATAATGTATATCTTGATACTGTTCCAATTTCTAATAAATGACGCTGCCTGCAGAAATGTTGAGCATATCGATAAATAATGTCACGCTGTTTGTAAATAATGTATAGAATAGCATAATAAATAAACGAAGAATTGCCGTCAGTCTAAACTATTTAGAACATTATTTTCCAAGTAAAATGAACGAAGATGACGATCAAAGTAGTGTAACAAAGAAGGGGTTTGTGCACTGTGTAAAACCAAAGGAACTTTCTTCCAAATAATTTATTTTGTCACGGCATCTATGAAAATATTTAAGTAGATTAACACAGGTAACACATGGTCAGTTATTTCAATATATAGTACCGTCAAGGACTTAATCACGAAGTGCATTCTGATAACGTCATCTACATCAAGTGCCATTTTATTTATTCAAGACCTTTCTTCATTATGGTATTGAACTTCTAGATCAGCATTTCAAGAAACATCTATCAATCATTTCGAATATCGTTTATGAAAACAGTATGTGCGTTTAGTTTCCGAAACGCGTTCATTCGAGTCGGTTGCAGCACATGCTACAGTATTTGTAATAAATAAACTGTGCACCTTTCACTAAAATAAAAACTTTCTGCATCAACTGTCAGTAGCGGAAGTTAAGTAAAGATGCACTTTCATTATGAACAAATTTTGGAGAATCAATGATATTTCAAGCATATTTCTTAACTCTCCTTACATTTTTGTTGCTTTGCTCACTTACCTTTGTGACATCTACAGTCTCCCTGCAAACTGAGTATTACAAAACTGTTAAGTAATCAACGTGGACAGTTGCGCAGCTTTCCTGTCACCTACGAATTATAAATCATCGAGCAATGAGAGTGCGCACGACGAGAACCAAAGATTTTAAAGACCTCAAGGGATGCCTGCTATTTCGCGCTACGGACTTTGCCTCTCTAATGCGCCCCATCACATTTTTCTCGGGGATATTCGGCTTTTTCCCATGCAACTATAAATCCGAAGAATACGTGTTCTCGAAGAAAAAATTCGTCTACTCAATAATCATAATCTGTCTTCATTTGGTTCTCCAAGTCTATAACTTTTTATTAGCCAATTTCCTCGACACCATCAAGTCTATAACGAAATCAATGTCGGATAACATGTTCGTTCTCTTGGACGGATCCTTACCTCTGCTGCTGTTCGCAGCACCGTTCTCAATGTCGGCTATGTTCGATCAATTGTCGAAGCTTTCACGCACGCTGCCGCGCCAGGATTTCAGTGACATGGCGAAAGTAATTCGCACGGTTTGCATCGTGAACGCCGTTTTCTACGTCTGCTTGATACCGGCATGTTATTTTAACGTTTTTAAGATAACTGTGCTGCGATTATCCATTTCTTTGTACTTCGCGGTGTCATCGACCACGTCGGTACTGTGCTACATAAGCTGTGTGCCTGTTTTGGGAGCGTGCTTGAAGAAACTCAACGAAGATCTAAAACAGTTGAATAGATCTTCGCCGGATCTACACGTTGAATTGGCGGAGAAGCAGTTGTCACGAAGACAAAGTACCATGTTGTTAATGAAGGTGAAATATTACGAAGAGGTGCACGAGAATATCAGCGACGCTGTCGAACACCTGAATAGATTGTTCCGCACCGTGGTCATCTTTTATACGACTTCCACTTTCGTTTCCGTCACTCTCAGTCTGTACAATATGTTCACGAAATGGGACACCAGTGGTGATAGAATAACGACGATAGATTTACTTTTCATATTTGTTGGATTGTTATATTCGTCATTAAGGTTTGGAATGTTCTGTGTAATAGTTTGGTTCTGCGAGACTGCCGCAAACCATGCTGCGGATATCGTTATCACGATCCACGATTGTGTCAGCCACTGCACGGATAATACTGTCAAGCGCGAGGTAATTGATCAGTTAGATTTCACGCCTTTATTTGTCTTCTGTTGATGAAAAGGGTATAAAGATTACTATTGGGACTATCGACGCGTTCAATGCTGGACAATTGATGCACAAAATTCGCAACGCCGAAGCATGTATCTTTGTATAATGTTCTTATCGGAGTGGATAACTCGCAATCGATTCCACTTGTTACTAAATTATCTATCCATTTAAATATGTAGTATAAAATAGTTTATTTCACGTCGTAACGACACGCAGAAGTTTCTAAATTACTAAAAAAGAATAATTAACACGTTGATTACACCGCCATGGGTTATGTAAACTATTTTATACTTATTATTTATATTATATATATATATATATACTTATTACTTTATTTATGGTTATGTAATCTATGTTTATACTGTTACAGTTGAAGTACTTTGTCCTGCAAGTTATCCACAGAGATATTACATTCACGACGAAAGCGTTTGACATTAATGGGAAGCTTTTATCACAGGTAAGATGCATTATTACGGATGGGAATATTAATGATAGTGAATTTTGAAGAATTTCTACCACTGTCTTTTGCATTAGTTAGCCTTTTCTGTGTCATTTGTTTCTCGTAATTGCTAGCAAATGTTGGTCAGAAATTCTGTACCTGTACATTATAACATCAGCGATTTATTTACAGATTCTGAGTGCAATTTTCATGTACGTTATGATACTCTATCAATTTTTAACGGGTTCCAATTGCACCAACTGACCGCTGCGGTCGTGCGACGATCAACACTTCTTCGTGAAATTACACAATTTTGTTTGTCACGTTAGCCTGATCAATGCTCCGTCAGCCGTCCGGAAGGCAACGTGGTGTGTTCCTGCGCAGATACCTGTAATAGTTCATGGCTGAGGTGTTTGATAATAGCACGCAACTTAATGTAACGAACAGACTGAAAATGGCATCCGCTCATTTCGGTATTTTATGTTAGAGACAATTTTGTTGTCTGACTCGCACCAAACAGGAATAAAGTTCACGTTCGAATAGTCTTAACTAGTGGATTATTTCGTTAATTATTATTTAATCATTTATTTACGTGAAATATCACTATCGACGTAACTATTCGGGGATCGAAACTTTCCGTTGTCTTCCTGTGTTTCGAATCAGCATCTAAATGTATATTAATGAAATTGGTGCATTTCTAAATCCCTCAGCAATATTTACCGATTTCCGTGCACCAACTGTGTACCAACGAATAAACAGCAAGATCTAAATGGTAATAGCCTGATCGATTTTAAAAGAGGAACACCTTGCACGCTGACATTGAACTTCCGAGGGAGCACGACAAAAGTGATCGCAGAAGTCCCGTTTAATTTCGTTGAAAGTCCGCAGATACTATCATCGATTTTAACGTTACACTGTCGCAATGAAATTCAGATCTCCATTTATCAAAACGCGACAATATACGCAGAGAAACGCACTGTTCGGCCCACTCGATTCAGTTGCGTTCGTCCGTGCGAGCAGCTACCAGGTGGCTCTTTTCTGTCGCGAAAAATTTGACAAATTCGAACAAATGATCAGAATGGTGAACAATCCTGATCGATGGCGACCATGGCGCGCCACGGATATAGACTCACTGATTTATCCGCACGTAATCGTCTCACGGTTCCTCGGATTATTCCCTTTTAAACGCAACTCCGAAAGCTACGAGATTTCGAAGTTACGATTCGCTCGTTCAACGATCATGGTCCTGGCTTACTTATCCGCCATGTCGTACTTATTGTACGAAATACAGTCCACCGAGACGAACCTATTTCCGGCATGGTCCCAGTCATGGAGATCTCACACGTTCCTTTACATTTTATGCAACTGTGTCGTGATCCTTGCAACGTACGCCTTTACGTACGATAGGCTGATCGTGCTGCAAAGCCTGTCGAAGGTTTCGCGCGTTCTGTCGCGACGGGACTTCGACGACATGGCGAAGTTTCTTCACACGAAGGACATCGTTGTCACGCTTTATCATTGTTTCGTCCTTCTATACTTCGTCGCCGACTCTCGCCTATGGACGCCGCGATATTTCATTGTGATGGCGATGCCGTGCGCGACGATTCAGGGGGAAATGTTCTACGCTAATTGCGTGCACATTTTGGGCGGCTGCTTCAAGAAAGTCGACGAAATGTTGCGACGTCTGAACGAACCTCCGCCCGAACGTTCGGAACTGTTGCGGACGTTCCGGGCGTTGTTGAACGAGCAGGACGCTTCGATGCTGACGAGGCTGAAGCGCTGCGAGAAGCTGCACGAGGAGATCAGCGACGTCGTCGAATCGCTTAATAAATCGTACCGCGGGATACTTACTGTCATCATGGTGTTCGAGTTTTACACGATCACGTTCAGTGTGTACTACTTTATCGAAGGGTTCGAGAGCATCGACGAACTGGATTTGGAATCGGCGGCGTATCGTCTGCTCCCTTTCAGCTCCATAGTCTACGGGCTGACGAAATTTTCGACGACGATCTGGCTTTGCGAGACCACCACGAATCATGCGAACCAGATTGCTACCACGATCAACATCGTTCACGCCGATTGCACCGACACCGCTGTCAGGCAGGAGGTGATTGATCTTCGGCGTCTGCGCTGCGGATCTTTGCGCGAATTCCTGGTTTCGTGGATCGCTTCGTGGTAAAAGTTTTCTTTCGTTTGCTGGGGAATTGCGTTAGGCGGGCGATAAAATGGAAGCGGTAACGTTTTGTTGTTATTGGGAGGTTCGTGGCTTTTTTTTAACATCGCGCTGACACGAAGCCTAATCGAAGGAACTCGAAGGAACGTCGAATTTGCAACTCTTAGAATTTTGTTCAACCGCGACAAGAATAGTTAGATGAACGATTCTTACGCTGGACGATTCTTTAGACTCTCCCGAATAGAATCGTGTGTATACCTTTTTTATGACTTTGCAAACGTTCAACCGTGTTTAAACATCATTCAAAGGAACGTCGCTCGCACATCGAGTTCGACGCACACATTTTCTATTTACTTTAAAGATCGTCTCTACGGTCCTGATTCGATCAACAAACGTCTTATTAACAGTGCTATTATTGTTTGCACACACGTCGCGGACGCGCAAATATCCGCAGGCTGTTTGCAACGATGCATCCGCCGAGCATTTGCAGAATGATTAACAATTACGCTATTGCAGTTGAGGTGTTTCGCGTTGCAAGTTGCGCATCGGGACATTCGATTTTCCGCGAAAACGTTCGTGATGAACGCGAAGCTTCTGTCGCAGGTAAGACAGCCCTATCTATGTTGCAAGCGAGTTGCAATCGCTGACGACTTGATCCTTTCGATCTTAAAGAATTGTTCCTTCGTGTAAATCGATTGTCCGAACGCATCGTTAATTTTTTAACGAACGTTTCACCCTGCTGTGTTCAGAATCTAGTCGCTCCATTTAACTTTCGTTTCTAACGCTTAACATTTCATCTTTCAAATCATAGTAGTACCATTTGGAACATTTTGCCACGATTGTTTGAGCCTTGCATCTCGTTTTTATAATCCTTGAGAATGGGCAACTATAAAAATGAGCCGCAAGCCTCGAACGATCGTATCTTCTCCTCCCAAATTGTCCATTTTTTCGTACAATCCGAGCGTCAATTAGGGAGAATTTACTGTATTAACATTTTATCTACTATAAAAAATTTCGTTAAACAATTTTGACTTGTCTCGCTGTGACCTGTTCCGATTGAGAAAGATTGATCGACGAACCAAAAAGTCAGCTCTATCGATCATCGATTTCTAGAAGACCGTGTAGATTCGCTAATCAAGGAAACGGAAATGCGACCACGAGGCGAACGCACCAGGGTTAAATAGTAATCGCATAATAATCGCAACGACGTAAATTTGCAACGACATTTTTGCAGCTCCTTGGTCAAATTGTAATATACGTCATGATACTTTTCCAATTCATGTTCGACACCAATTGCGACGACAAACGGTTGTCGTGATCGGCGCTGTTTCCTGCGGCTGCGGAACTTCTCACGGGTTCCACTGGGCAAGTTCGATAGGTCCCGCGAACATGATTAATAAACGCAAAAGTGAAAGCTCTTCGTTCGTTGTTCTCTCTAAAACCTGTCCGATAAAGCAACTATCGCCGTTAGGTAATAGCTTTTCTTGAAAACTGCGACGTAACTTTTAGAGGCACCGCGTTATCATATCGACAGCGTCAGAAACCGGCAATACTATACGTCGCGATAAAGGATCACATGACCTCTGGGAACAGCGTTTTTTTAATTTCCCTCCATGCGTCCGCGAATAAATTACCGCCACCCGTGTTGCACACGTCACACGGTCGTTGTGACGCGCGGCGTCACGGATCCGTTCGCGAAATTAGCATGAACCGCGAAACCTCGTTAGCGGCGCGTCGTTCGACGGACATCGAGAGACGTTATCGAGCAATAGCCGGTATTTCCTGTTAGACGTCGATTTAGTGACGTCTTGTCGCTTGGGAAGAATGAGTGACACCGTCGGATATGCCACGCGAGGTCAGAGAGCTAAATCTGGGATGTCGATTCCCGAGCTGCCGCGGACGCGAGAGACGATCAATCATATATATTTTCTTCTAGATGACAATACCAAACGAGTTAGATTATTTAACTCGAGGCATCCTGTTGGTTATTATAAAATAGGATCTTTTTGTTTGCATTCTTCTTGCGCAACATTCCACAGATTATTTATAGATACATAGGGATGCGTGTAAATCGCTAGTTTAATAATATAATATAATATTATATTTAATTAAATATAATATTAAATAATATTATATAAATGATAAGAATAAATAAAAATAAAAAAATAAATATAATAATAATATTTAATAATACATAAGATTATATTTAGTAATATAATCGCAACCGTGTGTCAGTTTCTTGCACATTGTTGCAATGGTTGCAAAAATCAGAGAAATTTTTCTGATAACAACGATGCAATTATGAAAGTAATGGAAAACAGTGATAAAAGCAGATATTTCTCGAATTAATTTCTTCACCAGTGTCCATAAAGGATACACAAAATCGGAGCTACTTCTTTAATAATTCAAGAACAGAAAATGCAAGATTCAGCAATTACTTTTGTGTTCTTTTTATATCTTATAGATCTTAAAGTTAAATAAACTTGTTACAAGGAATATTAAATATCATTCTAAGTCGAGGAACTATTTTCTAGAAGTAATCTTGAATCATATGATCGTACGCTTTTTTTTACAAAAGTTTAATAAAACCGAGCATAACACATAAACGTGACACGCAACAGGTGCCGGTAAAAGCGCGCGAAGCGGTTCTCCATGCGCTTTTCAAATTGGCCGACAGAGTGCTATCGATTTCTATCGAAGAATCGAGCGCCAATTAGTCGTATTCAATTAGCGCAGTTTCCTCAAATGCGTAGCACATAGTTTCATTAATATTTAATGTTTGGACTCATTGAAATGCGTTTTAAAGTGCTTTCGTGTCGAGCTTTGTCGTGCTTCGTGTCAAGAACGCTGAATCGTCCAAATAACCTCCATTATCCAGACATAAGGTAACGGAACTTTCTCTCACGCGCTCTTTCTCTTGTTTAACCTTCAGTGTAACCTTTCTTTAAATAATGTTGATTGTTGTTTAGCATTTCAATGCGTCTCGTTGGTCAGAATTGAAAAATTAATTGCACGACTCGCAGAATCGAATGCTATTTTATATTTTGAAAATGGTACTGGCAGTCGGAGTTGGGCATATTCTAAATATTATTCAAATGAATTTTATTCGCAGAATCTATTCGAGATGTTATTCGAATGAAATTTTGTTCGTAGGATTTATTCGAGATGTTATTCGAATCATATTTCATTCGTAGAATTTATTCGAAATATTCGAATAGAATTTTATTCGTAAAATTTATTCGAAGATATTATTTTATTATTTTTATTATTCGAAGAATTTATTCCAAATATTATTCGAATGAAAGTTTATTCGAAACATTAGTCGAATAAAATTTGATTCGAAACATTATTCGAATAGAATATTTTATTCGAAACATTATTCGAATGAAAATTTATCCGAAACATTAGTCGAACCAAATTTTATTCGACACATTATTCGAATAAAATTCGACTCATAGAATTTATTCGAGATGTTATTCGAATAAAAATGTTATTCGTAGAATTTATACGAGATGTTATTCGAATAAAATTGTATTCAAAAAATTGATTCGAGGCGTCGTTCGAATAAAATGGTATTCGAAAAATTGATTCGAGGCGTCGTTCGAATAAAATGGTATTCGAAAAATTGATTCGAGGCGTCGTTCGAATAAAATGGTATTCGAAAAATTGATTCGAGGTGTCGTTCGAATAAAATTGTATTCGTGCAATGGCCTCGATCCATTCGCTTTCCGCGGTTTAAATTATTTCCTTGTTGCGCGAAGGTTTAAGATTGTACACGCGCAAACGAACAGCAACGTGTACAGCCGCTTTAGATCGTTAATGTCCTAGACTATGCGAAAGCATGCGCTCTAAATCAGGTCCCGATGGGTCAACGAGGAAATTCAGCATGTTGGCTCAGAGTTCAGGTCGATCCGAGAGACGAATCGAATGTTAATCGACCGCGCATTGCAGCGTAGATTGATTAGCAGCCGCGGGGGAAAAGGGGGGACGCGATTTTCATTCGGTATGTGGCGCGTGCACACGGGGTGGAGTCGATCCATTCTCCTCAAGGTTAATACCACGAGATAATGCGCGGAGGTGGCTTCCAGGCTAAATACTATCACGCATCGGGAGTATTAATACCGCGTATCAAGCTCAAACAATTCAGTGACGACATTGTTGTTATTCCGCTCTGCGATCCGCTAGGATTGGCCGGCTGGAACGGAGCGGCTAATTGTTCGCATTGTCGTCACAGATGCGGAGAGATATTTCAGGTAATAGAACGACCGCTGTGTGGGCCTAGGGGGCGAGGAGGTCATCGATATTTTTACGTCGAGGAATTAACCTATTCTTTCTTTCTGCGAGCCGTTTCCCGACGAGTTTAGTGGCCGCCGAGAACGTCGAACGGCTAAAACCTTGCTTCGACCATAATCGTTCTTCCACATCTGCGCAACGTCGCTTAGATCGGTGCCAGATAAAAGGATCGAATTTTGAAAAGAACTGCACTCGAGAATTTCCTTGCTATTTAACCCTTTGTGCTCGAGTGGCGACTCTGAGGCACCATTAAAAAATTGTTACATCATGCTCCAAGATAATTTTTACGTTATATAAGTTTAGACGTAAAAAAAATTGTTAAAAGTTTAATTGCTGTACGAGTCGCAAGTCTATACATTTCATATGCATAAAATGCACTCTGTCGTATAAAATGGAAATACCATAAGTCGGAAAAATTAATTTAGATTTACAGTTAAAATGGCTTCGAGTGCGAAGGGTTAATAGAACAACGTATTCGTGCATTTATTTATTCGTAAAGCTACTTTCTTGGCACTATTCATTGCGTTTCTCGAACGCGTTGCAGCACCGCAATTATTGTCTTCGTCGCAGGAAATCGTGTTCGGAGAATCAGTCGAATACGATTAGAATTCGTCGTTTTCGTTGACTTTTGTTAATTCGAATATCGATAATATTTGACGCTGCAGCCAACCGAGAGACAATTGTCTCACAGTCGACGGTTCGCCGATGGTTTTGGCACATCGCGCGCAATAATTCGGCGCGAGAACGGAGACCAAGAAAAACAAAGAGGCCGTCCGCATTAATCTTTCGTTGATTCCGGCTGAATTTCGACACAGAAGATCCCCTTCGTTTGGTAGACAATGGCGGATGACGAAAGAGGCAAACAATTTCAGCAAAATAATACTTCGCCTGCAGATAATAGGTTCTGCGAAAGAAAAAACAACAAGAAAAGAGAAATGAGAAAAAAAGCCATTCGATTATACGTCTTTGTTGTACGCAGGCTTTCATTATGGCAGGCGCGCGGCCGAAAGACGAGCGGGAAACGATTCTGCACGAATCTTGCAAACTTTAATGAACTATAAATAATATCTTACACGCAACGAACGAAACACCGCGTTGTTCGGTTTTCTAGATGCTGTTGCTCCACGCTCGCGCCAAAGTTGAAAAACAAGGAGGCTATACTTTATTGTAATCGGTTCCGGACCATTGCGTAATTCCAATCGGGTGTATCGCGAACGAGCAAAAAATTAAGTTCAAATGTACACGTACGTTCGTTCGCCATCCATAAAATCCACCAGTGTCTCCACGGTTTCGCGTTTATTGCAACCATAAAATCGGCAATCTGTTCACCTATGCCACGGCCAACGAATTCATCGGCGATCGCTGGACCGTGGATCTACGCGCAAAATAAAAATCTTCTGTATCGATTCAAACGAATATAAACCAAATAGAAAGTAATTCGTTTCATCGGCGAATCTTAATCGACTGAAAATAGCATCTTCGTATTCTTGATTTCATTTAATCTCCTGAGCATTTGAAATTGCGCAAGCTCGATTTTATCGTAAATGCGTAAAATCCGCAGTCCGTCCGATCACGTTTCAACGACGATAACTACGAACCCGTCTACTTTCTGCGACTAATCGAATCGGCATTATCCCTAACAAAGTAATAAACATTTATCAACTGGTAGCACGCATCGTCGTCGGCCGACACCTTCCAATGATCGATCACGAAAAAAAATCGTGCTTCACTTCCAATGCGCCCGGGGCGATCGCAAAAAAAGTCGGCGAAAGAAACGCGGGCTGTTCGTCGATCAATCATTTTCGCTCGTCATCGTGCTCGATCGCGACAGACAGAGTCTGCGTTTCAAACTTCAAACGAAGCTTAATCGATATTCGGACTGCTTCAGATTTCAATGTAAACAAACCTTCGAACGGTTCCCTTTTTCTTCGTTAACCCTTTGCCGTACGACCACGTCTGAGAGACGTCCCAAAAAATTCCGAAAATGAATTCCACTAGTCTCAGTAACTGGTCCGAAATTTTGCTATCGACCTAGGTGGACCAGTTACTGAGACTAGTAGAATTCGTTTTTTCCTGATTTTTGCGATCTGTTCGGAAATCCATCCTACTAGTCTCAGTAACTGGTCCAAAATTTTGCTATCGACCTAGGTGGACCAGTTACTGAGACTAGTAGAATTGGTTTTCCTGATTTTTGGGATCTGTTCGGAAATCCATCCTACTAGTCTCAGTAACTGGTCCAAAATTTTGCTATCGACCTAGGTGGACCAGTTACTGAGACTAGTAGAATTGGTTTTCCTGATTTTTGGGATCTGTTCGGAAATCCATCCTACTAGTCTCAGTAACTGGTCCAAAATTTTGCTATCGACCTAGGTGGACCAGTTACTGAGACTAGTAGAATTGGTTTTCCTGATTTTTGGGATCTGTTCGGAAATCCATCCTACTAGTCTCAGTAACTGGTCCACCTAAGTCTATAGCAAAATTTTGGACCAGTTACTGAGACTACTGGAATTCATTTTCCGAATTTTTGGGAGTCTGAGGGCATGTGATTACTTCATCTCTACAGAACACTAAAATGAATTTTTTTCACTCAGTAACTGGTCCCCCTAGGTTGATAATAAAATTGGATGGATTTCCGGATAGATTGAGATGCGAGTGTAGATCGACTTTTTGTACGTTTTTTCGTTAATATCTCGCAAACGAAGCGGCAGATTGCATTTGCGCCAAGGAGAGAGTTACTTCAAATGATCTTCGGAATCTCTCATTTCCCGGAATTTCCCATAATTTCGGAGTACCCTCTACATCGTATAAGCAGCATACACTGTAATGTCTCCCTAATTGACGCTCAGATTGTCTACAAAAATGGACAATTTAGGTAGAGAAGATACAATTACTCGATCCTTGCGGTTAATTTCTTATAGTTACGAATTGTCGACAGCTATAAAATCGAGCTGCAAGGCTCGAACAATCGCATCTCCTCTTCCCAAATGATCCATTTTAGTGGACAATCTGAGCGTCAGTAAGGGAGACATTACTGTATTTACATTCCGTAAGAAGTTCGCGATTGGCACAGCTTCAAACGTTTCGTGCAACCGCGAAAGGACCCGCCGCGTGACTGATCATTGTTGTTCGCGGCACACACGTTCTTGAACCTTAGATCGTAGGGCAAAGGGTTAAATTCGAATTCGAGACGAATTCACCGACCGCGGGTTTTTCGTTCCACGGCGCTGGACGACGAACGGATTTGGCCGCGTGCGAGAAAGGGTCTCGGTTATGGCAGGCTTGTTATATTAGGACCACACTGTCATCGAAATCACGTTTCTCCATCGACGGGTGCACACGCCTGTTTTGTCTAATTCTGGCAGTAAACAGCCGGCCGATCTGTCGCGTACGCGATCATGCGACTGCGCGAGTCATCGCGCGCGCCGAGGCGCCGTTAGGGTATGACCGACACGCAGTTGTTCAGTGTTGCGCCAACAGCCGCGCGGTGTGAACGCTTCCGAGGAATAGTTTCGCGGCTTCCATATCCTCTCGATAGTATCGCACGGGGTCTCACGCGATCTCGCTGGATCGTCGCGATCGATCACATGGTGCACCGTGCGTTCCCGTTCTAAAATCCCGGAGTGCGAGAAAACGAGCGAGCGCGCGGGCCGCGATCTCTCGGGGGTTGTTTCATCCCTCGAGCTTGACAGAAGATCCGCCGTGAATCTCGGTGTTGTGCTCGCGCTTTGTTGACATCGAACCGTTGACAGTTCTCGAGCAGTTTCATCCCCTGAAACCACGGAATGATCGCGAACTGGTGTAGCTGCGAGCATCGAAGAGCTCGTCGCGAGCGTCACTGAACGGTCGATCGGATCGCTGGCATCGATCTTTTGAACCCCGATGACGTGCTTGGGGTGGCTCCATCCCTTAAAGTTGGGAGAAGATCGCGGAACGGAAATAGTGCGGAACGATTTGCAGGTCTGCGATCGCAGACGAAGTTGTCGCAAGTGTACGATGCGCCGATTACAGAAACATCGTCGTGTTCTGAAAATCGTCGACACCTTCGGCTAGTGTCGTCCCTTCGAATTGGACGAGGATCGCGCGGGAAACGAATAGCAGCAGATCTCTCGAGCGATCTATCGATATTTCTAGTTTAATATATATCATCTGCGGATCCTAAAAATCGTTGATTGTCTTCTTCTGTGCTCTACCGTCATCCCCTAAAATTCGGAACGAATCAGTGCCGAATCCGGTGTTTTCCGACCGATGCTTTCGGACCGTTTGCATCCCCAAAATGAAAACAAGCCGATGGTGAATCAACGTGCGCCCCGAGTGCATCTCTGTCGCGCGTCGAATGCGCGGACACTTTTCTGGGAAGTTCATCCCCTGAGAGAAGAAGATCGCCGAATAAGGACAGTGGTGAGTCACGCTTTCTAAACGAACTACCGTGTCGGGAGAATCGGAATCCGCGGTGCCGATTAGATAAATGGCATCGAATCCTGGAAACCAACGGCGCGTACAGTTCCACGGAAGGCCGGCGTGCAGGAACACGACGTTCCATTGATAATCCGACTCGATGTACAATGATCCAACACGCGGTCGGATCCGCAAGTAGGTGTGACTGCGGGCTCGCCACACATTCTTGAGTTGTTTGATGGGCTACCTTGGGCGAGAATAGGCGGAAAGCAGTCGCAACCGGAGACCTCGAGCTTCGTTTCCACGCGATGAAGTGAGTACATATGTACATAAATGCATAGAGCCGCGAGAGCGACCGTTCTTTCTTTAATTGCACCGCGAATGTTGACGTTCGCGCGGTTCCGAGGCTAGACGGGTTCTATTTTCGTTGCAACAATTGTTTGGACCGGACGGGACTCGGCATCCGGCTGACGGGGATTTATCGGCCCGCAGATTAGGCTATTAGATAATCTTGCGTGGCGATCGTTCGGTGCTTTCGGAGCTACAAAGTGAAATAGTGATCTTCGGATTATGTTCGATGGAACGTGGGAGCTTTGGTTGGTTATTTTTCGAAAGCGAGCAGAGAGAGAAGAAATTAGTGGAGCTTGTTAAAATTTGCTGTTAAATATCCTTTTATTTATATTATTAATAACAATAATAATAATAATAATACTCTAAGTATAATAACAATAATTTATTATCGTTGTTATATTAACTTGTAATTATATTATATATATATATATATATATATATATATAATAGCGATACTTTAATAAATAACACTCTTGTGGAGTGTTTTATTTTAACTCGTGTTTCAGCATGTACACCGTATAGACGAGCGAATTGAAACGTTCACTACGAATGTTCAGTGATTGTCGTATCAATTGGAATATGACTGGATAACATTTGTGATAGTGCACGTATCAAACGAATCGCTTGGAAAATATCAAATGTCGTTTACTTCGACTTTCGCGTCTAATAAATGTTCGACGTTCTTGCGATAATTCTACAACAGAATACGCGAGACAGTTCCAAAATTACGTCTCGAAGCAGGTTAGAGAAATATTTCAGAAAGCGCATTCTTAACGGTGCACTTCAACGATTCAGATTGCACACCGACCAGTCTCCTTGCGGTTTGAAAACCGCACAGGAACTGTTTCAAGTTCATAGATAGCGAAGACAGTCGTAATTAGACTGCGGATATTTATGCAAAATACAAATTGCCTTTACCTGTTGCAAAGAGTAGGAGTAAGCCAAGAGTTGCATTCTTTCCTTGATAATTTCAGTAGGTCGAATGTGATCGACGTTGTTAAATGTTTTTAATCGTTCTACCGTTTAACGTTACAAATTCTCGTCTCTTCTTTTTTTCTCATAAATGCATCAAACCCGCGGTCTGCACATGGTAATGTACGTAGCAGTTGCATTACTTTAAAATATCGATGTCATTATTTTCTACGTTTGAATACCATTTAACGAAATGGTATTTCCACAGTATTTACTCGCGCAAATATTTCAATGTTCACTATTTCACATCGAACTATTTCAAATTTAAAAAACAAAATGTCATTTGGAACGTGTAATTGAATGCAGGCAAGCTAAAAATCGCACGGGCAGGGTCCAATTGTTGTAAGTGAAATTGCGGAATTCCATGAGCGCGTCGCGTAAATTCGTAAACATTTCGCGTGTTTTATCGTGCTTGGAGACCGCAATATAGACCGCAAAACAAGAGTGTTTATCGAGTCCGCAAATGATCGATAAGACCCCCGACACCTCGGTGAACAAAGACGTTCCAAGTGCAAGACAGTTCGTCGGGAGCTCGACGAACATCGTCGACAAACATTTTCGTCTGATAAACGCCGTCGTCGCGTGGCGCTGCAGCTTGCTATATACGGATTTATTTAGTTCGCTCAGCGAGATTAGTCCCTTATCGGTGCTACACGATTCGGCGTATCTCTTGCTCCGAAAATCGATTTGTTGGTTATTATCGGATAAAAAGTACACAAATTGCTTCGAATGCATTTTTTTCCCGAAGAGATTGCGGGTGCTTGTAGGTTATCGTTGTCCTTATTTCCGAGCCTTATCGAACGTCTCTCGGAGCTTAGATAAGTTCGACCCGCCTCCAGGACTGGGGAAAATTTGAAATAATTTGTTACGAAATAGTAAACATCGAATTGTTTGCATGAGTTAATGCTATTTGGAAATAATGAAATAGCATTTAATGAAATACTACGCTAATGTCTCTCTAATTGACGCCCAGATTGCGCACAAAAATGGACCTGTCTCTTATACACATCTAGATGTGTATAAGAGACAGGTCCATTTTTGTGCGCAATCTGGGCGTCAATTAGAGAGACATTAGCGTAGTATCTGTCTCTTATACACATCTAGATGTGTATAAGAGACAGGTCCATTTTTGTGCGCAATCTGGGCGTCAATTAGAGAGACATTAGCGTAGTATCTGTCTCTTATACACATCTAGATGTGTATAAGAGACAGGTCCATTTTTGTGCGCAATCTGGGCGTCAATTAGAGAGACATTAGCGTAGTATCTGTCTCTTATACACATCTAGATGTGTATAAGAGACAGGTCCATTTTTGTGCGCAATCTGGGCGTCAATTAGAGAGACATTAGCGTAGTATCTGTCTCTTATACACATCTAGATGTGTATAAGAGACAGGTCCATTTTTGTGCGCAATCTGGGCGTCAATTAGAGAGACATTAGCGTAGTATCTGTCTCTTATACACATCTAGATGTGTATAAGAGACAGGTCCATTTTTGTGCGCAATCTGGGCGTCAATTAGAGAGACATTAGCGTAGTATCTGTCTCTTATACACATCTAGATGTGTATAAGAGACAGATACTACGCTAATGTCTCTCTAATTGACGCCCAGATTGCGCACAAAAATGGACAATTTGGGAAGAGGAGATACGTTATAGTTATAAATTGTCCACGATTATAAAAACTAGCCGCAAGGCTCGAATAATCGTATCTCTTCTTCCCAAATTATTCGTTTTAATCTGAGGACAATCTGTGGACAATCTGAACGTCAGTAAGGGAGACATTACTATATTTGGAAAAATTAAATGTTTCAATTACGAGGGAATACTATATTTATTACTCACACTCGGATTCAAATATAGAGAATAATTAACCGAAAATAAGACAGAAATTTTGATACTGAACGTATTTCACAACTGTCTGCTCGCTATCTCCCATTTGAGTAAAAAACACTCCTTGCAAATATTCGCAGGTGTATTCGACGAAATATTATTTTTCTATATTTTAATGAAGTATTTATTTCACAATACTTATTTCCGTATGCGACTGCACACGTGAGAAAATAAAAATATTCACGTCCTATTTACCATTTCATATTTACCATTTTTCGGCAGCCCCGCTCGCCTCGTATCTCACTTTTTGGTGTTTCTTTTAATAGATTCGTTGTTTAGGAAAGTCTGCACCGGGCATTTGGCACAACTTTCTTCCGTTTATTATTGTTTCGTCCAAACACGCCGAGATCTGTTGATAATTATATGGCAGTCTGAGTGCTCGGTGGATAACGTTCGCGATGTATCCGTAGCGATGTTAGGCGATATTATGCTAACATTCTCGTGCCACCGCGCAGAAACATTTGCTCGGTTGGTGTGTTCACCATCGACAGGGGTCGATGGAGGAGGGGTAGACAGGCTATTGTTGAACCTGCCATTTCTACTCGGCTGCACGTGCCATTACTATTCCGCTACACGTGCCGGCAATTATGTAAATGTTTAAACAACTACCCGCATCATTTCCAGTACAAATTCCGAAAGCTCTGCTCGAACTTCCTTTTGTATAATTAATCGTCCGTGATCCAGAAACTCACGCGTGCATCCGACTTTGTTTCTGCCATTGTTCCATTGCATTTTATTTTCCGACGAGGGTTCGTTCGGTTACTCCATGTCATCATTTTATACGCTCCTTCAGAGCAAAATCCGATGGATCGTTTATACGGAATCAGATCGACAGATCCTTTCGCAATTTTCATTCGGGATCTATCGCGATCCGAGAAAAACGTCGTACCGGTTCGATTAAAAATCGAGCATCTTGCGAAGCATTGGTTAAAAATTGCCCGAAAAAAAGACTGGACATTCTAAAATATAAGGAAAATATAAACACGAGAATTAAGTTGAAAAACAGCAGAGTTAAACATTTGCTAAAAAGAATTCTGCGTCCAGTACACTGACGCTAATATCAACTAATTCGAATAATTCGTTACCAAGCTCCAAGCAATTTTCGATCTACGTTGAAACAAATTCCTCGCGATTCGTTATCGAGCATGTCGGTGGCTCGAAAAACAATCGAGGAGTCGCGGGAATGCGATAAATAAGCTCTTCGATCAAAAACCAACGACGGAGAAACGTTCCCCGAAAAGAAAATAACACCCAAAACTCAGCCTCGGCCTATGCGAATAATGAACGTGTGCGACTGCAAAGTTTCACAGCATTGCGAGTATTCGAAAAATAACAAGGGAATTGCGGATTCCGCCGCGGCGGTGAAAAAAAAAGGGGAAACGCACCGGGACGGTTCTATGGTTACACTTTCACGTCCGACCCGTAAAAATAAGCGGTGTTTCACGGCTTCCTGTCGCGTAGCACGCCGGGCCCCGTGGCCGGAATAAAATTCGACCCGTGAGAAAACAGTTTTTCTCGGTGTGTCAGCGGCCGCGGCCTTGCGTTCACCTGGCCTCCCTTTCCTCTCCCCATGTTTCCCGCTTCTTTCCCGTCGTAAATCGTTTCTGTCTGTCTGCTCCAATCGGCCGGCCTTGCCTGCAACGATAGTCATTGTCACGGCGCGCGGCTAGATCCGAGCAAATTGCAGTTGTGCAGTCAATGATTTGCGAAAAAACTTGTTTGCCCGCGAACTCTTCCAGCGAAGTATGCGTGTCTCGCGAGCCGTTTCCGCGGGAAAGTCTTGCCTGCCCGCCGTTGACATCGCGCGTTCTCCTTCGCTAAACGCGATTATTTTCGGTTCAACGATTCCTCGTTCTTGCACTTTTTATGGCGCTGTCTCTCCGACGCGACTCTCGAAATTTAATCGAATTAAAAACCATCGGTCGGAAACGAGCGACACGATTTCTTTCCACATAGAAAAATCATTGGTGCCTGAACAGTCGTTCAGAATCTAGTTCAAGGACAAATAGCGTCGCGGAAACGCTTTACTCTCGACAAATCGTAACACCATATCAGCGAATAAAGCGCAAGAAAAGATATAAAATACTGTTCTCTGTGTAC